GGGAATTTCTGGCGTTGGGATTGCATGGGCGGAGTTACAATATACGAATTGAATCTCTATTCTTTGCTATTTTGCACTATAAAGCGTAGTCGGGTATATTATAGTGATTATCGATTGACGGGGAGAGAACCAGTTCTCCAACGGTTGTTGGAGAACAATCCAACACACTTGAAAGCCCTCAAATTTTGGATAAGCTGTCTTTGGCGGGGAAATAAATAGTTGTGTGGAGCGTTCTTGAAGCGCCTGACAGACTCTAGCAAAGTATTGGGCGGAAATGAACGCCACTGGATTTCAACGGCTGGATATGGAGAGCATGCGGATGCGGGCGGATTAGGGCTATCCGCTAGGATAACACTGAGTAGGGACTTGGATCAGCTATTTTCCATAACAGTATTGTTTCTCTGGGAATTGAAAGGTAAATACTAGTAGTATATTTCTGCTTTCGAGTATATATTGTATGAAAGTGTATACTATCCGAAAATCCGATCGGATGAATAATCACCAAGAAATGATTAACAACTCTCAGCCAATGGCGGAATACTTCCGGGCGAGCTCCACTTTGGCCACTGCTTGAGTGGACAAAAAGCATAAAAATGATCAAATTGTATTCTTAATCAGCCTTGGAAGCTGGAATCTCGGAAGAAGACCCCCACTCGGCTCGTAGTCAAGGCAATTCAGAACGTATATACAGTTCAACTCCATGCTTAACTCCAGCATCCACAATTGAAGTATCTACGGTACGCGATCGGAGATAAGCAGAACCCCGTTCGGTCTATTGAAGTTCGAGGTCAAGGTCCAGTTCATCACCCCTCCACCATCCACCCTCCACCCCACATCTCGATCCAATTCGGCAAGATCAGCTTAACTATTGACTCGTTAAATCCAACCCCTCCTTCGCGACATTCTTGTGTAGTACACCTACTTCCCATCTTCTCCTATCCTTCTCTACATCTCGTCGAAATTACAGTTCCCCATAATGGCGCAAAACAGCTCCGCGGTGACTCCGCTCATCATCAATAACGAGTCCGTCGTGACCGACATCAAGTTCGCCGTCAACGCTCCCGCCACCGGTGAGCTCTCAAGTCACTGCGCCGGTGCCTCGGTTGACGATGCCGTGCGCGCCGTCGAAGCTGCGCAAGCTGCATTCCCTGCCTGGAGCAAGACGAAGCCCTACGACCGTCGCGATGTCTTGTTTAAGGCCGCTGAAATCATGGACTCCCGCAAGGAAGAGTTCATCGCATACCAGCGCGAGGAAACTGGCGCCGGCCGCCCCTTTGCTGAGCATACCTTCAACCTCGGCGTGAGCTTCATCAAAGACTTCGCAGCTCGTATTTCGACTATCGAGGGCATCGTCCCGAATGTGACCCGCGATGGCGAGGGCGCTATTGTATACAAAGAGCCATATGGTGTGATTCTGAGCATTGCGCCTTGGTAAGCTTCCTCCTGGTGCAGATTCGATACTTTCGGGGATTTTCAACTTTCCCCGGAATTTGGACTTCGTTATACCGCACTGTGGCGCAGTGTAATAGTTGAAACTAACATAATTGATTCAAATTCAGGAACGCTCCTTTCATCCTGGGCACTCGTGCCATCGCTCTCCCCATCGCGGCGGGTAACACCGTCGTCTTCAAGGGCTCTGAGCTCTCTCCCAAGTGCTTCTGGGCTCTCGGTGACGTCTTCCGCCAGGCTGGTCTTCCTGCGGGCGTCCTCAATGTCATCTATCACCAAAGCTCCGATGCGGCCGCTGTAACCAATGCGCTGATCGCCCACCCCTATGTCCGCAAGGTCAACTTCACCGGTAGCACCCTGGTTGGTTCTATCATTGCTTCCACCGCTGGCAAGTATATCAAGCCCGTTCTCCTCGAACTGGGCGGCAAGGCTTCTGCAGTTGTCCTTGACGACGCGGATCTCGACAAGGCGGCCATGAACTGCGCCGTCGGATCTTTCATGCACGTAAGTCTTCATCGCAATTGCAATTGCACTGCTGCTCTATTAGAGCTACCCATATATACCACCCACCCTAAAATTCTCGAAGAAAACTTGAACTGACCAACCCAACCCAATCAGTCCGGCCAAATCTGCATGTCAACCGAGCGCATCGTCGTCCAACGCAAAATCGCCAACGAATTCAAGCAAAAGCTCGCCGAAACTGCAGAGAAAATTTTCGGCAAAGACGCACCAGCCCCCGTCCTCGTCAACGCAGCCGCAGCAACAAAGAACAAGAAACTCGTCTCAAACGCCGTTTCCCAAGGCGCAAAGGTTCTATTCGGTGACGCTAGCGCTAACGAGTCCATCGATACTCATATGCGGCCTATTATCGTCGACGGCGTCACTAAGGAAATGGATATGTATGCGACCGAGTCTTTCGGTCCGACCGTTTCGCTTTTTGTCGTTGATACGGAGGAGGAGGCTGTTGCTTTGGCGAATGATACCGAGTATGGTCTTACTAGTGCTTTGTTCACTTCTAACCTCTTCCGTGGTTTGCGTGTTGCTAAGCAGATTGATGCTGGGTATGTGTTGCTTTTCTTCGTGCTTGTTTTCTGTTTCTCGTTGATCTTATACTAATCGCTCGTCTTGAATGTCTAGTGCTGTCCATATCAACGCATTGACTGTGCACGATGAGCCGGTTCTCCCTCACGGTGGATGGAAGAGCAGTGGGTTCGGTCGTTTCGGTGGAATCCACGGCTACGACGAGTTCTTGCAAACCAAGACCGTCACCTGGTTCGAGTAAGTAAAAATAGATAGTGCCAGGACGGCAGTCCTGTCTGTCCCCAGTCAGCTGGGGGTGCGGGTGTGTGGAGACGACCTGCACGAGATTTCGGATATGTGGGAAAGATTTTCAGCTTGATTTCGATTCTTCTTTGGAGCGGCTCTTTGGTTCAAGTTTATTTATAACCCGAGACTCGGGTCGTGTTTTCTTTTGAAGCCTTAGGCGGAATAAAACATAATACCCCTTTCTGAAATGACAACATTGAAAGTTTCATGTGCACATCCTGCCTAGAAGTAGCACAAGAAGTTCCGAATTCTCGGTCTAAGTTTTTTTCGGAAAGAAATGTCTTGGATAGTATCAACACCTGAATGGAAATCCGAAAGGGAGATATCGACCTTGATTCCAATGGGCATATACGGCAGGTGTATCATGGATTCAGCTTAAGCCAAGAACTATGGATACTGTCTAATTATCCTAATATAAAAAGGAGCATAAGCATAATAGAGTGATCTTAGGTTTTTAAGTTGGCGCTACGAATATTGACTCCTTTAGTACGGTGTACGGAGTACACAGAGTAACCTTCGATGGTTGCCTAGGGGTGGTACCCGGTAGTATTCGTGATACCTAGGATCGAGTGAATACTCAATATAAGCTGGTACGGAATACAATCAGGAATATTTGTTGAATTGCACGGGTCTAGTGTAGTACTAGATATGATTGACCGCTACGGTATAGGACAGTACGAAGGTGCAATAATTACGGACATCGTGGGTTGTTTTCGCAAAAACAGATCTTTGATAATGGTAGAATTACATTCCATTCGTTGCCATTCCATAGTCTAATAGGGGACGAGACGGTTCTTTAGATGGGCCAGGCTCGTAGAGTCTCGATCCTGAATGCCAGTTTCCCTGGGGTGACCTCGAGAGATAGTAGTACTACGAATCCCCATCTAAACCTTGATTGTCATGCTTCGAAGAGAGATTTGGTGCAAGTGATTTGAGTTCAGGCAAAGCAAAACGCTCAATCTAGATAGTACAAATTATGGGATCGATGAATTAATCCTCTGCTTCTCGACTCTCAGTGCAACAGGGCGATATGTTAGCGGGCGGCTAAGTAAGTGAACGACCGGCGTAGGATTGTCGACCCTTGGTTGCCTGGAAATCCAATTGCACTCTTTTACCTAGATGGGAATGAGCAGGAACGCAGGAACAAGGAGATATCTTAATATAACATGACTGATCTGGCAGGTAGCATCGTTCGCGTCGGTTCCGAGATGCGAGATTAGTCCGTGGACCCGCGCGCCTTGAGGCACCGCGCCAGGCGAGTCCAAAAAGGTATTCAACAACGAACCGGTGAGGCTCTACTCCATAACCTGATTTTCAGGGACCCGGGTGAACAAACCGAGATCAATTTCGTGCCTCGAAAATATTCTGATTGGAAGTAGTTCGACCCATCATTAGGGGCGAAATGATAACTTAGTCCGTTAGACCCGCAATAGCGTCCGAGTTAACCCCATCGACAAGAGACCAGACTCGGTCTCGCCAGCAATTACCTCAAGGCGGGTCTGCATGGATGGTCTTGTGCATCCATCGTGGCGCATCGGAGATATTACAGGCGATTTATGTTTATACGGAGTGCAATTGGTGGTATTCCAGACTTGGCGGGAGCGCCAAAAAAGCCTGTCTCTCTCTCAGCTCCGCGAAGGAATCACTCCCCTTATGGAGAAAATGACCGATAGTTATGACGAGTGTCTTGGAACGAGTGCGAAGCCTCGAAATCATGCTGACGCTGACGGGCGTCTGGTTTTGTCTTGGCTGAGCTTCTCGTATTCGACATAGCCAGCATAGCCTCGCAATTTTTCCGGCGGGGTGCCTGACCGAATAGAATATCGTACGGAGTACGGAGTACTTAGCATGACAGGACGTAAAGCCATGCCAATGCTGTACCTGCATGTCAGCCAAGAAAGGCCAATTTCCCTTAGCCAGCGAAGCGCCGGTCTCGCCAACATCAGTTGCTGGAAATCTCCCGCACTCGGACCGCTGACCCACGATACCCTAAACCTCAAAGCGACCGCAAAACCGGTTTGGCAGCGGTGTGCTGTCCCTGCACAAGCGTGCGTGCAAGCGTAGCTACGGAGCACGTTAGTACTAGCATTAGTTACTCTATGCAAGAACGGAGGCTCCAGCAGGAGCGAACTCGATCCAGCGCTAGTCCAAGAAGGAAGGCATCCGATGCGAAGAGGCTGAATGCATTGCCCGTTGCCCGTCGGCAAGATTCAAGATCCATTCCATCATAGTTCACGGGGTGGGGTGGAGGCGAAAGGGCGAAAGTGCTCGAAAATGGAGTCAGACACAGCTATTTTGAGCGCGCGATTCACCGAATTCCATGGGTAAAAGTCAATAGCGCGGAGGGAGCTCCGCGTCGGGTCTCTCGAGCCGGAGCAGTCAGAGAGGAGAGGGGTCCCTAAAAGATTATTATCTCCGTCCATCGGGTGATTGTGAGTGGACCAGTGCTGGACGCCCTCCACCCCACCACGCGAATTGGGGTCAGGAACAAGAAATCCGTTGGCCCCCGGCAAATCACCGTGCACGCTGTGAGACAATCGAAATTTCCAGCACGGAATACGGTCAGTACGCAGGATGCACAAAACCAGAGGGAACAGCCACAGGCCGAGTGGCACGGCAGCACGCAACCATCCAAACAGTCCACACCGTCCCCTGATCAGCTGTTGATCCTTTCCGATGACATCTTTGGTCCGACGAACAGGCGGGATCGGCATTGTGATGGGTTGGGTTCATGGGGGTGGGGACTGAGAGTCCACGATGTTCAGGGGAGCGGGGAGGGAGTAGAGCTATCGCTTGTACCTGTGCCTGTAAGGAATACGGAGGAGGCCGGTAGACATAGATGATGGCAGCGCCGGTGGCGTTGGAGGAGGAGGAAATGAGGGAAGGATTTAAGGACGACTGATTGGAAGTCACAAAAGCCATCGGGGAAAGCGAAAGAGAAGAGAAGAGGTCCAAGAGGTCCCTGCAGGTGATAGGTGATCCATACGGTATGGTATGGTACAGGGTATTGAGCCGGAGAATATCCGGGTGACCCTTGAGTGTTGTTACATACGGAGTATAGACAACAGAGTAGAGTAGAGTAGAGTAAGACATTTAAAATTAGATGCTATGGATGATTTAGAAAATACGGAGTACTCATAATGAGATTAATCCAGAACAAACAGGAGTATTCTGTATAGGTAATCATCTCAATTACGGAGTCCAGTTATTAAGGGTGACCCAAGATTGCCCGACCCATTCTTGGCCCTGGAGTACCTGGACTACCCTGGACACCCTAGACAATCCAATTTCCCTTGGTATTTTTGGGTTTAGCTTGGAATGGTGATGGCACTGCATTCCCCCTCCTGACTGGTGGATTCCTGTATATACACAGAGTACACAGAGTTCCCATTTGTCCAACGGTAAGGCTTCGCCTTACCGTCTCCAGGATACACAACATAGTAATACGCTAAGGATGCACTAAGATGCAGCCCAAGACTCAAAATCCCACGAGCCACAGCCCCACGAGGATACCGTTGCATCTGTACTGTATCTGTACTCATGGTGGGCTGCGATGTAAAAATAACCAGATCATTAATCATATCCAATGTTATCCATCACCTCTATCCTTTCTATCACTCCATACATATCCAAAATAACCCGGTGGCGTGTGAACACAATTGCCTCCCTCCAACCAGGGTCCGTCTCTATACTTCGACTCACCTATTCTTGTAGACACTCGGCTGCGCCTCGTAAATATCCCCCCAAATGTCGTAAATCTAATTCTCGCTTGCAAAGTAGGCTTTCGATGCCGACCCACCCACCAGTCTACTACTGGCTGGTGCCTGGCCAGCGGGGGGGGACTGATTATGGGGCTCCCAAGTGCCCTCCCAAAGTGCCGCCTCCACTCCCCAAACCCTCCGAGAAAGTAGAAAGGCACTCGCCCTCCTCCTTTCCTACTTCTTCTCTCTTTCTCCTTCCAACAGTCGTTCTTTAAACCCAAGTCATTCGTTGCTACCCAAGCGTCCTTTCGCTCTATTATCCCAACTTCAGTCATTCTTTGCTTCTACAGCACCAATCAATCAATCAAAATGCGTTTCTCCACCGGTACCGTTTTCTCCACCCTCGTCGCCCTCGCTGCGGCCTACACCCAGCCCGACTACACCAAGGGCCCCGAGGGTAACGCCGTCCGCGCTCCCGGTCTGAACGACCAGGTCCCTGAGGGCGCTCCCTACGAGATCAAGTGGGACACTCTCCTCGGTGACCGTGTCTCGCTGGTCCTTCTCCGTGGCCCCTCCTCCAACGTTGTTCCCCTCGAGACCATCGTTGAGGATATCCCCAACACTGGCCACTACACCTGGACTCCCGGCTACAACCTGGAGGTTGACACCACCCACTACGGTCTGCTGATCGTCGTTGAGGGCACCGGTGCCTACCAGTGGTCTTCCCAGTTCGGTATCTCCAAGGGTAAGGGCTCCGGCTCTACCACCACCACCACCACCGCCGCTGGCTCTGGCTCCGGCTCCGGCCCCACCGTCACTGTCATCGAGGATGTGACCACCACCTACTGCCCCGAGAGCGAGACCGCTGCTCCTACCTCCACTCCCCTCACCATCACCACCGTCATTGAGGGTGTCACCACCACTATCTGCCCCGAGGAGGAGGCTTCTTCCACCCCTACTGGTGTCTCCCCCGTCTCTTACTCCACCCAGATCTCCAGCGTTGTTGTCACCACCACTGAGTGCCCCGAGGAGAGCCAGACCCAGCCCCCCGTCGCTCCCACCACTCCCGCCCCCGTTACCCCCAGCGGTAGCCGTGTGCCCCACGTCCCCTCCGCCTCCAGCACCCTGAAGAGCACCCCCCTGGCTGTTGTCCCTACCGGCACTGCTTCCCCCTCTGCCTCCGCCACCCCCGCCTTCAACGGTGCTGGTCGCACCTCCATCAGCCTGGGTGCCGTCATGGCTGGTCTCTTCGCCGTTCTGGCCTTCTAAGCGGTTTCACCCCCGCTCGACTTGAGGGGAATTTGACCTGAAATCTTATTTTACCCAGGTCATCTCTCTCCTTTTGTCTTATCTTTCTGTATGAGTTTTTTCCCATGGATCTCCGGATCTCCAGTTGATAAACTCTTAATGCCCTTCGTCTTTTTTGCGAAGGAGGTATCTCGACGGAATTAATGAGGATTGACACAAATTTTACCTTTTTATGGAACCACTTATTCTTATTCCCATTTCTTGTTTCTATTTTTACGGGACCGGTTGTCGGTTCCCTGAGCTGGGCTTTCTTTTGCGATCTTCTTTGTGTATCATCTGTTTTCTCTAGATTCTCACGGGAATCAAGTCAGCTTATGCTCGTAATGACATGCTCTATCCTTATATCTTATTTCTCGTGTCCTTTCGTCTCCTGTAGTTCAATGTAGCGTAGCGATTGGAGTGTTGCTCCAATCTTCCATGAGCCCCTCTTTCGGTGTATGCAGCAATCCGAACTTTCGTCGGCGAAGAATCTGGAATGGTTGACAACCCACGTCACCTGGAATGTATACTTCCAAGCTTCTCGAACAAGGCCTACTAGTCGGATTTCAAATGGATCCAGATCTCCTTGATCCGCGCATCCGAAGTCGAGTGGATACCGGTAGCCGCATCGTGAAGCATAATTAAAGTTGTTACATATAAACCACAACGGCCGCAGACGGACTGTTTCAGATAAATCATGACAACGGCTGAGGCGGATGGGTATGAGCCTAGTACGGTAACTATCGATCAGTATACAGTATCACGTGGCCTGTGCCGCAGCCCTCTAACAGCATAGAAACACTCGAAGAAAGATACATAGTATCTGCCGACAATCTCGTTCATACCCTTACCGTGCGATCCTAGAATCAAGCAATTTACGCACACTCTACAAGCGAAGAAAATAAACTTCCCAATCGGGAGCGACCCCCACAACGCAACCCTGGGAAGGCGGGCGGTGTATGTGGTTAGTCACGTGATACCGCGATAAGTTTCGATAAGGATTTTTCGTTGTTGGCCCCGGGCCCGCCACGACGGAGTGAGGACCAGACATCTAACACTCAACCCAACTCGCTTCAATCTACGGTGCTGCAGGCAGTACATTGCATTTATAGCACAGCATCCATTTACACCCGACACAATGGTTCAAGGATCTTTGAAGAAGAAGTCTACCACGGCCACGGCAAAGCGGTACGTTCAATGCAGAACAGAGCAGGGGGGCAGGCAGGCAGGGCAAAGCAGGGTACCCAGGACGGTGATTTGAAAATCCAGTCCCGATTCTGTGCTTGCGCCTACGCCTGGTCCTGCTATATGTGAAGCGAAGTGACGAAATGATTGAAAGAACATACCCACGAAGAGAGGAAACAAAGACCATGGAAAACCAAACTGACCCGATTTCTACATAGTGGTGCGAATGCCAGAACCAGACCTGGTGTTCGACAGGTCGCTCCCAAGAAGCAAGGCCTTGTCAAGGCGGCTAAATTGACCAAGGTATGTACAGTAGGGCTCGGATGGGGTGTCCCAAGGTTGTGGATTACGATTGCGATTGAGATTCTCTCGCTTTGCAGATGCAGACTCTTCCAATCCAATCCAATCCAATCCGGCAACATATTACTCCTCCCTCGGTCCACCCTTGAAATAATGGCAATAACTAACCAAAACCTCGCTCTAGAAACTCACTTCCGGACTCGTTTCGAAGACGGAGCGCAGTCTCGCGACCAAGGCGGGCCATTTGGAGCTGTTGGCTGGTGGAAAGAAGGATCGGTTGGAAAAGGAGAGGAAGAAGAATCCTATTCACAATGGACAGAAGAAATGAGCGGGGTTGAGGGCTATTTTCTTTGTCCGATTGTTCGGTTCCTTGCAGGTTTCTTTCTCTCCCGTTAGGTTGGTCAGGCTGGATGGGATGTTCCAAGGGCGTGGATATGGGATATGTTTGGAATTATAGGCATATTACCCATCCACTGGCACCTGGACATGTCCTCTATGGTCCGATCGCAGCGATACATTCATGAATTCGATACCCCGTTCTCGCTGATCATACTACTACTACTACTACTACTCGTAATAGTACTAGTAGTACCTCCTATATACTAAAAAATCATATTCATGCCCCAACCTTACTGTATAGTAACCACTGGTTCTTCTAGAGGTATGTATTGAAAAAGAAATGTGTACAAGAATCAGCCCGCGCCATGGATGAAGATGAGAAAATCAACATGCTGGGCGGAATTCGTTAATCATAAACAAGATAGTGTGTAGTGTATCAGTCGTGATGCGTAGAAGAAATGGCAAGAAAATCCGGAAAAAGATATCAACAAAATCTGAAATATAAACGAAAAGAAAAAGAAAAAAGAAAAAAAGGGTATCTAATGGGTCCAACTCCAGTCACCGTTCCAAATCCATGCCATGCCATGCCTTGCCTTGCGTGTTGCTGCCGCTTGTTTTATTTTTTTCACCTGTGCTCAGAATTTAGAGACTCGGCTCGGAACACCAGCCTGCTCAATCAAATCCTGACCATGCTCCATCCAATTCGCGAATCCAGCATCCGACGAGTCCGAAGGGAAATCGTCCCAGACCGGATTCTCCGAGTCCGCATACGAAGACCAAGTTCCCTTCGGAATGTCAGAGGTAGACCACGACGGCAGCTTGGCTAACACGCAAGTATAATAGACGTAAAGGATGCGGCAGAGCAGCTCGACGCGATCAACGTAGTGCTGCTGCGTGGGGTCGGGGCTTTGACCACCATCGCCGAGGCGTTTCCACCACGAGCAGCGCCATCGCAGCGAAAGCAGGATGTGGCCGAGTTCGTTGAGGAAGCGGATGTGCGTGTCGTGCGAGATCTGCTTCCATTTGATGTTGTAGAAGTCTCGCTCTAGTTTGCGGAATCCTTCGACTTCCATCATTCGGCAGATTATGCGCGAGAGTTGGGCGGCGAGGAGAATGTCGCGGCGGTCTTCTGGGTTGTTGATGTCCATTGAGCGTTCTTGGCCGTTTTCGTCTAGCGGGACGAATGTATAGCGGGCACGACTGGGCATGTTGTTCCACTGTGAGAGGAGGGTCTGGGAAGGAAGGTTAGTCGGTTTGAATTTTCTGCCAAGAAAGTAGATGTACTCACGTATGCCTGGTTCATTGGGTCGCAGTCCTTGACGCAGCTTAACCAGTTCTTCGACTTGTCTTTGGAATCGACGATGCGCCGGTCGATGAACTCAAGGAAAGTTGATTTCGAGTTGCCATTGTACTCGCTGAGGCTCTTCAAGAATTTGTATGTCTCGCCAAGATCGAGGACATACAGTGAGCCCCAAGCTTGGCTGGCACGGATGTTGAACCGGCCCTGGCGCTCCCAAGGAATGACAAAAGTTGAGTCATGTCGAATTCGGTCGGAATTTCCATTCGGACTCGGCCGTTGCCGTCGACTGTGGGATGGTTGACAGCTCGTTGGGCTGGAGAAGGTCAGTTTGGTGGCCCATCCATATCGTATTTAATGTACTTACAGATGTAGTTGCAGGTTCCGAATTCAACAATGCTAGAGAAGCAAGCACGAGCACAAGGTTGTTCGTGAAGAGTAGGACGGCATGCATCACAAGGTGCGCTTCCATCACACTGTTCATCGAAGTTAGCATCATTCAATATAAAATCACATCGGAAACACTGACCTTGCGCTTGTTCAATCGGCACTGAACACAAGTATCCTTGTTCTTGCGGCGTAGCCCAGCGTTGGCTCTGCCGACCATGCTCAGAGGACCCTTGCGTCGAGCTCCCCGCGGAGGGGAAACAAAGTCCGCTGACGCAATCGAGCCACCTTGACCGTCTTCCTGTACAATTTGCAAAGGCTTAGGTTGGCCCTGGTCCATGGACTGGGGGTTTCTGTTCTTGCGCTTGCGGACGGTAGCCACAGACTGCATTGCAAGAGGCATGGGTCGACCTGACGCCCGTTGGCCTGCTGAAGAGGAAGCACGAGACCGGGAAGGAATGCTGCTGACCAGCGAATCGGCTGGAATCTCGCTAACCATGAAAGCGCCCGTGCCGGGTACCGATGACTCTGGGGAACTGTGGTCGGGGGTAGCGATTTTCCATTGGGCATCCTCGTCCACTTGACGATCGGCGAAGGCAGGAGCGTCATCATTGGGGGCAGAGTACGAGTACTCGTATAGGCCGGACACATCACCGGCTACAGAAGAATTCTCCGACTTGAACTGGAACCCGTCTTGTACAGGTTTGGCGTGAGCCTGTGGCGCTGGTGATGTCTGGAGTGAGGCGGGCAGCGAAGTAGGGGGCGTCATCTGCGTCACGGGCAACTGCGATTCGAGGTTGTTGATCCAGCGCGACTCCAGGGCTCGGAGGGAAGGCTGATAATGGCCCTTGGAGTTATTCTGTGCGTTCATCGGCATCGGCACTGTTCCTTGGCCGGCCATGTTCTCCATTGAGATTCCGTGGGGCATCTCAGGCCATTGTTCCATCATCGGAAACGACGGAGGCACCTGCTGAAACATGATCGCCTCAGCCGAAGCATCCGGAAATTCCTGCCCCTGAGGCATCTCGCCCACGTCGTCAACGATCACGGCTCCTCCAGCAGAGTTGTTGGGACCTTTGCCGTAGGGATACATCACGGGTGCTTCGAGGGACATGCCCGCGGACATGCCGGCCGCAACGGAGTTGAAGAGCTGGAAGTGCGGCCATGTTTCGTCGGCGTGGAAGTTGTCGTCCGTCGACGAGGGCATCGTACGAGGGCTAATTGTGCCACTGCCTGTGCTCTCGACGCCGCCGTCGACGTAGTTGAAGGCCTCGTTGGTCACATCGCGTTTCCTGTGATTTCCATAGCGTGTCAGCCCCCTCTCTTCTCAACCACCTCTGGTCGTCCACACCAGCGAAAAACACGGGGAGTGAGATGAAATGCGCACCTGTTCCGGATCTCTCGCGATCGATCAAGCAATGAATTGGTTAGCGGGTCATGAAAGGCGCCCAGGTCGGCGACATCGGCGCACTGGCTCGATTCTTGGCTGGTATCCCACTCGGGGGGTTGGTCGTATCCCAGGTGTTCCCACGAAGCGACGGAGAAGGCGCCGTCAGTTTGCCAATTATCCAGAATTTTTGGGTCGATACCCGCAACAGTCGCAGCGCTTCCAGTGTCCATACAGGGTATACGCGGGCGAAGAGGTTGGCGTTGGAAGAGGCCGGTCAAAGATCGCAGAAAAAAAAAGACGAGACTTTTTCTTCAGCGACTTTGCGGGAGGAATGGGTCGACGTGTTGCAGTAGCGGAGCGAAGTGAGTCTGATCGATGATGGGTGAGGAGTGAGAAAGACAGAGGGGAAGAAGATGACGAGTTCCCCACCACCAAAGTTTTGCGTCTGCGATCGCCTTTCGTCGTCTTGGGATCCGCACAGACCACGGCGGGTTGCGCGGGAGGATAGCAGTGGTACAGGTACTGGTACTGGTAACTGGTACTCAGGGACTCAGGTACTAACCTTTAGTAGTCCCAACAGAACAGGTTTAAAATTGGATTCAAAAATAGTCTAGTCCTAGTAGATATTTAAGAGATGTACAGCAGTAATTAAGTGGTGGTGCAGTACGAGTAACTATAGTGTAGGTATACTGTCTACTACATAGGTGTAGTATACCCATACTATGGAAGAAGTACTCAGTACTCAGTAGTCGGACTGATGATCGCCGAGCCAACAAGGTGACCAACCCGGTGGACTGATCTTACGCGAGACGATCACAAATCGCTGATAATCAACCAGGAACGTGCCAACCAGAGCCAGGACCAGCCAAGTACCAACTAGTGTTAGCCAAAGCTAAGCAAGGCCGTTCAGTCCAGGGAATACTCAGTGCCCAGCAGTACCGAGTAGTATCCATACTGGATTAGTCATGTTATTCAACAATATATGGGTCACGTGGTGACCACTTAGGCTAACCCACTTCGGTCTGTATGCACAGCAGTTATGCTATGCTATGGTATGCTCTGGTCATACTTATACTTATAGTTATAGTTAATTATAGTTGGCTATCTATAGACTATTTATGATATAACTACATATACTACTGTAAATATACTATACTCTACTCTACTCTCTACTCTACTCTCCTCTACCATCCATAGTATACATTCCTAGGATACTCAATGCAAACTCTGCACTCGCCTCACCGAGACTCCATCCGGCCCAAGTGCCGCTCCCCGCAGCCCGGACAGCTTCACCGTGGTCATCCCCATTCGGCACCCCGGTATGCTCCATATACCAATGGCAAATCCCTAATCCAACGACCCCAATGGCTCAATCCTTAGCCAGCTCCCCATAAGTACTCGCCCTCCAGTCCCATGGGGTTTATCTGCATGCAACTGGAGTCTACTGGAGTCAACTAGTTCTAGTCACAGTCACATTCACAGCTACTAGTTACTACTACCAACACCAAGAAACAATTATTGTACAGCCAAGGACCGCCCAAATATCCCCCATGCATATCCTGGTACGTGCTTCTCATTCACGCGACCATCTTTTCTTTTTTCCAGCATCATATGGCATCTCTCTATCTCTCTATCTCTCTCCCTACTATCTATCTATCTTTTCTTTTTCTCTTTGCTGTCCCAGTTCGCATCCCTGCTAGCATCCCCGCTAACCCAATACATTAGGTCGTCAATGACGACGGCCCGCCAAACGAGCGCGTCTCGCCCTACATCCGCCCACTCGTCGACGAGCTCCAATCCGCCGGCCACCTCGTCTCAGTCGCCATCCCCGCCGCCTCACGCTCCTGGATCGGCAAGGCCCACCTAATCGAAGCCGAGCTAACGGCGAACCTCGTTCACCCCGACTCCTTCCAGCCCGACGGAACCTGGGACTCAACCTATAAGCCTGAATCTACTGGTCGATCCGAAGATGGCCAACAAGTTCAACCCGACTGGATCGTCATCCAAAACGGCACACCCGCCAGCTGCGCCCAGCTAGGCCTATACAACCTCTTCACAGACCGACCACCCATCGACCTCGTAATCTCGGGCCCAAACCACGGCCGCAACGCCTCAACAATCTACAACCTCTCCTCCGGAACAGTCGGCGGAGCCCTGGAAGCCGTTTTCTGCGGGAAGCGCGGCATCGCGATTTCATTCGGTAGCAAGGATCCGCAAACTGATAGCGTTATTGCGGCTGCGGCCCGGCTGGCTGTTAAGGTTGTTGGTCATCTTTTGGAGAAATTGGGACGAGAGGGTTGAATTGTATAATATCAATATCCCCATGCGCGAGGACGTGGAGGCTCAGCCTGTTTTGTATACGAGGACGTTGCCTTATTATTGGTCGAGGGGTTGTCTTTATGCTGAGACGGATAAGAGGAAAGAGGAGGCTAAGAGGATTTTGAATGGGAATGGGAATGGGAATGGGGTTACGGCTAATGGGGTTAATGGTGTGCATAAGGAGTGTAATGGTGTTAACGGTGTCAATGGGGTTAATGGTGTGCATCATGATGAGCCTGAGACCAAGGCTGAGACTGGGACTGTCTCCAAGCAGCGCCATTTCAAGTGGTCTGCTGATTTGTCGGATATGAAGAAGAGGTTGCAAGAGAGTGAGGAGGGGACGGATGCGCATACCGTTCTGAATGGCTCGACTAGGTATGGTCTTCTCTCCTTGTTTTGCTTTGTTTCACCACCTTGATTTGGTTGCCCCCACACATACAGTACTAACAAGTTATATAGTGTGACTGCTTTGCGCGCCAACTTCTGGCACGTCCCTGGTTTGGATGGGCCGATAGATCTTGAGCTGTGAGATCTTGAACTACTATGAGATCTTAAACTCAAGCTCGAGCTCACTGACAAAGGGCTCCCTGAATCTTGCGGGTGACCAGATGGTCATTAATATTCTCTTTACCACATCATTTCCTGGCGCGGGAGCATTGACATTGCAGGGTCTGGCATAGATGTTGAAACTTGTACATAGACATACATTTATACGTGAAACGTTCCATTTACCATTGAACTAAGTATCCTATCACTGGACCGCCTACAACCCCATACTATCAAAACGCAAAATATCAAGTTGGGCAAAAGCACGAGCATAGGCAAAGTATAGGCGATGGGGCGTGTCCACGGGGTATCACATGAACAGCGAAAGAAAAAGAGAAAAGAAACAGCTTTGCTAGAGACTAGTAGATATCACAGCCTTACAAAGCGCGCGCCGCCTCACCTGCACCACTATCAACCGTCGTCGCCTGCTCGGCCCGCATCTTGCCCTTTCCAGCACCGCCCTCACCAACGCCCATACGGCGAGCTACGTAGCGCTGCGCAATAGTACCAGCCGCAAGCGAAAGCGATTCCTCGATCCACTCAGCAGCCCACTCGCGCGGATCCACGCCTCCACTCTCGATGATCTCGGCGATGGCCTCCGGTGTGACGGCGCGGGGAACCTCTGCATCCTCGGCGTCCGGGTTCTCGATAGCCGGGGCAGAAGCGTCGAGCCATTCAATCCACTTCTGAGGCACGGCCTGGGAAATAGTGTGGAAGGCAATGCCATGCACAGGGTCGTGAAGGTACAGCGCGAAAGAGATCTCTTCTTGCGGCTCGGGAGTCTCAATGGCTCCAGGTGTGGCGGGCTTCTCGCCCGAAGCACCGGCCTGGAAAAGATCCGACGAAACGGTCTGGGTGATAGCCTGAATCGCCAGGAAGATATCACTGCTGCGAACGGGGTTTGATTCGCTCAAGACCTCGGTGGCCTGTTTGGCGGCTTCTTCAATTCCGCCTCGCGAGGAGAAGTATTCCGTAGCGTAGGACTCGGCGCTGGCACGAGCGAGCTTGGATGCCTCGATCGTTCCGGGCACGGCGTTGATCGTCCGTGGGGTTCCTGGTGTTACTGTCCGCCACCAGGGACCATCGCCCCATCCTGCACTAGAGATATATCCGCCGACGTCGAGACCGCGCTTGGGAGATGATTCTTGGCCCCGCTGAATGACCAATAGGTCGCCGCCCTCGACTTGCGCCATTACGCGAGAGAAGACAGCGTACACTAGCGGGTCGACGCCGGGGTAGCCAGAGAGATCGTGCGTTACGTGAATCTGGAGGCGTTCGTGAGAGGAAATTGGGGGTGCGAGGGTATGGATGAGGTTGGTGAAGGTTGGGATTGCCATGCTGCGAAGCTCGCCGCCTGTGAAATTGGTATTAGCGGGAGATGTAAATCGGTTTTAGTTGAATGGAGGGCATAATACCGAGATCTCTGAGGGCACCGACATTGCCCTTCATATGCTGCGCCCAGCGCTGGGCTTCTTCATTGTTTTGAATTTCCTTGACGGCGGCCTCGGCCTGCTTCATAGCTGCAGAAGCTGTTGCGCTGGCGGTTGCGAAGATGCCACCGGACCAGCCGCCCCACCAACCACCACCTTCGGCCTCTTCCTGCTGCTGCTGCTGCTGCTGTTGCTGCGAGGCATCCTCGGGCTCTTGTTTGGTCGGTTCGGGTTTAGCACTGGCACGAGAAGAACGGCCAGTTTCCTCTGACTGGCGGGCCCGGTCAATGGTCGCACTGGGCCGCGGGGACCGTGTGGAGGACCTCGCCTTGTCTACCGAGAGTCTAGGGGTACCAGGTCCACTGCTAGGTCGCTGGGCAGCTAAGTGATCCAGCTCGCTGAGGATGTCCTCCTGTGCGGCCGTTGCATTGTCGACCGTGGGGGCAGCGGGGGCAGGGGTCTGCTTGGGCGCCTTTTCGGACCCGTCGATGTCAAGGTTATCGAACTGAGCTAGGAGCTCATCGCTTGTGGGTTTTGCTCCCTTTGGAGGCATGGTGTCTGGGAGAGCACTGGGAGGGGATGTGTTCAGGAGAGGTGACGACACCGAAGGTTGTTTGGAGCTCCCGAGGTGGAGACACGCGCCAAGACCACTTGCGTGCTATGCAGCTAGCAGCTAGCAGCTAGCAATGTAGTTATCTATGTACTGCTAAATACCTAGGCACTATAGAATCAATTGGTTTTACTTTTTGACTAGGCTCGGTGATTAGTTAGAGAAATTAGAATGCAGTGGAATACATATTGACAGACTTTGGATTGCATTGATTCCAAGTTGCATACTAGATCCATCCATGCAGTGCCATCCTTAGGGTGCAGATGTATACTTTTCTAAAGTACTTTTAAGGGCAATCTTTATAATTACCCTGGGCAGGTACTATTTTTTATATCCATTCAAGATTAGTAACTAAGTAGCTTGCTAACTTGAAAACTTGAAGTACCTAGGTATCCTTTGGTTCTGGTTGGTACCTATACTAGTTAGTAGTATATATTTCAATAGATCCAAGGGCTGCTACTGGGGAATACCCCGAAGAACATGCAGGATACCTAGGTACTATCGATTAAAGTACTCCGTAGCACTAATATATGCAGCCTCCTATCCACAATCTCGTACTACATGCAATGCTAGTAATAGTAACCGTAGAACAGACCCCCCGGGACCCCGCAAGCCGACACCCGCGGCATCTCTTTATCGGACCGCATCCGCTGCGGGACCACGCGGGGTTGGCGATAAAAGCCATCAGAGTTACTCACTATTTCTAAGGTTTCTCCCTCTCCTTCCTCCAGATCTACCGGAAGCACTTGACCACGATTTAATTTCCTTCCTCCAAACCACCAATTGAGTCCGTCACCCATAGCCCCCCAGTACCAGTAGTTATACAACCTTGGTATACTCCCGGAGCCTCTCTCCCAGATCTAACGACTACTAGTACTTCACCTGGGCAATATTTACTACTCTAGTACTCTGTACTACAATCCCAATCACCATGCGCCTCCCATACGTCCCCGACCCCCCACCAACCAGCACGCCCGACGAAGCCAGAATCCTCTCCAACGTCCAAGCCCGCCGAGCCCCAAACCCCCTCCTCCCCTCGACCTCGCCCTCCTCCACTCCTTCCCCGTCGCCGACGGCTGGAACTCATTCATAGGAGCCATCCGCACACGAACCACCCTCTCCACCGTGATCCGAGAACTAGCCATCTGCCGCGTAGCCGTGATCAACGGCGCATTATTCGAGTGGGAGCAGCACGCGCCGTTACTATCGGAGGGCGGATTGAGCGACGAGGCATTGGCGGTTGTACGGGATGCGAAGGAGGAGACATTTTCCGGTGCGGGCTCTGTGGCGGAACGGGTTTTGAGTCGCGAACAGAGGGCTTTGTTGAGGTATACGGATGCGATGACCAAGACGGTTACGGTTCCCGAGGAGGTTTTTCAGGAATTGAGGGATTGTTTCTGTGAGAGGGAGGTTGTGGAGATTACGGCTACTGTTGCGGCTTATAATTGTGTGAGTCGGTTTTTGGTGGCGTTGGATGTTGGGGAGAAGAATCATCTGCATTAGGTGGAAGTCATATGGTAGATAGATATCAAGACATGGAATATCAATCACAATCATAATCACAATTACTTCAAGTCGGCTAGTACCAGTGCTAGTAGTACTTGGTTACTTGATTTAGCTTTGGAATGTCTTCTATTTCATTGGGCGGGGCGGAAGGGATGGCCCGTCAGAGTGACATGGCCATTTACCCCCTGGTGAACCTGAACCAGTAGATTAGTAGTATGATATGAGTGTATTGTACTCGTAAGCGATTCGAGTCTACGGGATGGTAGCCTGAGTGTTTGCCAGGGAAGTAAAAGCCGAGTCATTTTGTCGCGTTTGCAGCCAGGGGGCAGTAGTAGTGTAGATGAACTCGCCTTTAGTTGATCACGCGACCCAACCCAGCTGGCCAATATAGATTATTCCATCACGCCAAGCGCACTGGAGAAGAAAACTCGCCTGAGGGCGCCCAGAGGAAGCCCTGAGGAAGGGCAGAGGCGACAACGGTTGACGTCAGGCTGCAGGGAATATAGATGAAATCGCCAACGGAAACGGTTCGTGGGGCCGGGGCCAGGGCCAGGAGGCGGTTCTCTCGGGCTCTTGCAGGAGGACCGATCCAGCGAATAGCAAGTCCGCGAATAGTGTAAGGGAGAGCATTGGGCTTCTGGAGAATAATGTCAGGCTTCATATACTGGTAGACGCGAAGGAGCCGATAGTCGGTAGTTTCGGGCAGGATTAGGATAGTTTGAAAAATACGGGTGATGGGGTCTGTGCAGCAGGTTGAGACAGCGATCGGATCAAGGGGGTAGAGGAGGGTATAGCATTAGCATCACGATGGAGTCTGGAAATAGAAAGAGTAATATGCAGAGGATTTTGTCAGAAGGTACCTGGGTATATCATAATTAATTATTACTATGAAACTGTGGACGAGTGTGGTGTAGTACTAGTGTACTGGTAGTCACTGTAGAGTGTAGGTGGTTCTGATACTTCCAATCTGATGTTATGTAACTATCCATAGTAATTTGGATAAATGGAATGGCATACGAATATAATATTATTATAAAAATAATATTATGAGTATGAATATATTAATAAATGAATAGTAATAGTTCTATTCTAGAATACTTAAATAAATACTATGGACTACTAGTATACTACATACTACACCTCCCCTGATTGGCTCCCCAAGTGGAGAGGATTACCATTCTCGTCCTGGAATGGTCACTACAAACTAAACTACTTCCTCAATCTCTTTTCGCCCTCAGCTTCAACATCTTCACCCATCCTAATCCCCTCTCCCCATGTAATTTGTCTTCCTTTTGTCACCCGATATCGATTCTCCGCATTTGGTTCCCCCCATTGCCCTCTCTCTTCCCCCTCCCCCGTGTGTTCCTTGTGTATGATCCTTTCTTCCATAAGGATTTTTCTCTGCGCTCTCTCTCCCCCATACTCCCTCGCGCGCGGAATCATCTGCCTTCCCCCCTTGGTCAGCATCAGGCCGAAGCTACTATTTACTGGACTTGGTCATTTCTACTTGATTCTTATCACTACTTCAACTTACTTGGGACCATACCCGATCGGCCCCCTTTCTGGTTGTTGTGGTGGTCGCACTTTGTGAGAAGAAAAACCTCCGGCCCAGCCATCTCTCTCACTCACAGTCTACCTACACATCCCTGGCCCGCGACCAAAGTCCAGCGCTTCTCCGAGTCCAATTATTGGCCTTGCCTTTAAACTACTTCTTTCATTCTCCCTTCGCATCGGATCTGATGGTACGTTTTTGCTCTCTCTTTTGCCCTTTTCTCTCACACCTTTTCTCTTTTTCCCTCCCCTCTTGAGTGTTCCATACAAGGTTCATCTGATCCACACAATTTGCCGCGACCGTGTCTGCATCACTTCTTACTTCCCCCCCCCCCCTACAGAAATGCAAATCATTTCAAAATCTTGGCGATTTGGAAATTATTGGATTCTCTGTCTCTTTTGATCTTGTTGGATACATTTCCCTCCCTGATCTACCTGGGTTTTCCTCCCTCCCTCCCCCCCTCCGGTAGTCCTTCTCCCCTGGAGATTACGTTTCTGATTACCTTTTGACTGGTCTTGGCGCCACAAGCGAAACCGGCTAACCCCCATCCTAATCTATACAGATCTCATCCCCTGGAACTTGGTGACTTGCTAGACAGGTGTGAGTTCCTGAGGGTATCTGAGTTTTCTTTTTCTTTTTTCTTTCTTTAACTCTACCTCTCTCTTTCCATAATGTCCCCTATCCCTCGGGGCGATTTGGACATGGACAATCAGTCTTCTGATGTCGGCGACAGCCAGGACTCTCCGCTGCGCCGTCAATTTTCCGAACCTTTCCGGCCACAGTCCACCTCCACTCAAATCTCTCAATCTCCTGAACCATTCGCCCAGAGAGTAAAATGTGAGTGGTGTGGTAAACTGTTGGAAATTCCGGAAGATGGTTCCATTTCCGGACATGAACTACTCACTTCTCACCACGCCACCCATCATCCTGATGAACTCAATGAAATGGATTATGATGGTCCCGATGATGGCATGGATGAAGATGTCGATGACGCCGTCGAAGACGGACTCGATGAGGGTTTAGATGAGGGCCTCGAAGAAGGCCTCGAAGAAGGACTCGAAGATGGACTCGAAGATGGTAATCTCGACGAAGAAGAGGAAGAAGATGAAGAAGTCGATGGAGACGATGAAGAAGATCCAAATGCCGAAATCGACTTCAACGAGGAAGACGTCAACGGTATTGCTCAGCCTGGAGAGGAAGGCGAACCCGGCGAACATGAAGAGGAAGAGCCCCTCGAGACAGCTCCTCCTTCGCCTGCCGGTCACCAAAACGGATCAAGTGGTCCAAGTGATGGCGAGAATACAACTTCCAAGACATCCGATACCAATGTCAAGGTCGCTCCAGCACCACAGACGAAATATGACCTTCTTGAATTCTTGTCAAATCCCCGGAGCGCCTACCCCGATGGCTTTCGTCAACGCTTATCGGAATGGCAGGCTCCAGAAATGACAGATCGACTTCCAAAAATCTGGACAGTCAACGATGTCAATAACTTTTGCCCTACATATGAGCAAGACACCAACAGGATGGAAGACGCTTGGCAACAAGTCTTCCGCGATGCTAAGCCAAAGAAGCGCGATGCGGCGGAACCAATTGCCCGGCCCGCCCCTTATAAAAATACCGAAGTCGAAGCCGGTAAATTTCTTGATATTAACTCTCCCGATGAACTATTGAAGATTCTTCAAAAACCCGAGTTGCTTTCACCCGAAGAGCTGTATGTGGCCTCCGAGGCTGCATCGTTCATGATGAAGGCATGGCAAGACGAGTACATCGCTCTTGATAAACTTTATCTTCACGCCCACCGTCATTATCGAACGTCGCTTTCAATTGATGCTAAGAGGGATTTCATGACCGGCCATAAGAAGCGAAGTGGATACCCGTTAGCCCGAGTGCCCGAAAATAAAGTCGACTTTGAAGAGAAGAAAGAGGCCATGTTGTATGGCTACAAGCACAACTACTTCCCCGTTAATACGACCACGGCAGTCAGCCGGCTCCAACAGAATCCTTTCGCTCAAGGCGGCTTCATCCCGACTCCCGCACAGGCGAGGAAGATGATTGCCCGAGTTCCACCCGAGGAGCGGAATCCAGATGGCTGGAACCCTGTGGTAGCACATGGCGTTGAATTTGTCCCTAGACTTTGGGAGCCCCGAAAGGAGCCCACCGTTAAACTCACCCGCAAGCGCAAGGCCGTGGAAATTGATGCATCGAAGAGTGACACCGAAGAGACACGAGAAAATAGTCGCGATGCAGAGGAGACAGAGGAGGAAGTTCATCCTGTGAAACGACGCACCCGAGGTCGTGGGGGTCGGCGTACTACATTTGAGGTACTTCAGCCTGAAACTCCTATTGTCACTCCTTCTCGTGGTCGTGGACGTGGCCGTGGCCGTGGCCGTGGACGAGGCGTGGGTCGCCCCTCCGCTTCCCGACAGTCCCTTGATTCCATGCAAACTCCAATCGCATACACCCCCACATCTACGCGTGGCCGAGGAAAGCGAGGGGCTAGCTCGCTGGCGACGTCGACTCCTCAGACTTCCCACCCCGCGACTGAAGACGGAACTCCATCTTTCACTGCGATCTCGCCAATGCCAGAGCCTACACCACCCACCAAGCTCACACCAACTATAAAGCGAGATGCCACGGCAGAGGAACTCGAGGAGGCCCGTCGACAAAAGATTATGAACTCTAAGAACCCGAAACGAACCAAGGCGATGCTCGATCACTGGGAACGGTTTAACAGGGAAGGCCGCATTCGCAATCCCAAGCGCTCCAAAGCGCAGATCGAACAAGACCGAACGGATGATCCTCTGGGCCCAAAGGAAATGCCACACCCCGGTGCTATTCCCGGTGCTGTTCCCGGCCCTGGCCCTGGCCCTGGCCGTCGCCGAAAATCCCCTTCCATGGCACAGATTCCTAGTGGCAATCTTGCACCGAAGGCTCCTCACCACTTGGGCCCAATGCCCGGCCCGCAACAACACTTGGGTCCGCTCCCTGGACCTCCGCCCGGACCAACACTGCCTTCGCTGGGATTACCTCACTACGTTCCCCCCCAACATTTCAACCCGCCGCCCGTGGGACTTGGTCAACCAATGCCGACGCATGCTCAATATGCGCCGTTCCCTTGGGTACCTTTCCAAGGTCACATACCTGGACACCCGCCTCCGGATCACCACCGCCGATGACTTTGAAAAGGGGGGTCTCGGGTGAAATATTCAGTCGTCTCAAGCATCTCGGCCCCTCAATACGGTATTTGGCCAACAATATCGTCTCTTATAAACGGTCATAGACATAGCTGCAGCTTCCCGAAAGAGTTTGCCGCACGCTGTCGTATTCCGACACCAAAGATACACCTTTTTGCAGCAAAGCTTCAAACTCATTTCTTATCTCATTGGCACTGTTGAGAAGTGCTCTTGATTTTACAACTCAGGAACGGCGCAAAAACAGGACAGGCTTTTTCTTTTTCTTTTCTTCTCTTATTTTCTTTTTGTTATCTTTTTTCCTATTTTTATTCTCTCCTATGGGATTTCTGGCGGATTTTCGAGCGCAAAAAAGGAATTGTACATCTAATGGGATGCAGGGGTCTGGGAATTACTCTCAGGGGGATTTTTTGGAGGCCTAAATTGGCCGTAAGCGTGTATTTTATTCTACTTTGTTTCTTTTTGTTGTTTGTGTATGATAGCATGGGCCAGCACATTGTGATCCTGAGGCATCAAAGATTTTGTTCACGTGCCCTTCACTTCTCCATCCGTGATCCCCGTAAAGCGCAATCTGCAGTGACTTCACTTCTTCCCCACCGATCGAACCACGACTCACCTTTGACGCCCTCTTTCCTTTAATCGAGCCTAAAGTCCAGCCTGGCTTCTTTCTCCTAAATTCACCTCCTTTCACTTCATAATCACAATGGGCAAGAAGAGACGTGGTCCCTCGCTCGACGAGGTCCTGGAACGACCCTGGTGCTACTACTGTGAGCGCGATTTTGACGACCTTAAGATTCTTACTTTGCATCAAAAGGCCAAGCATTTCAAATGCGAGAGATGCGGACGCAGACTGAATACCGCTGGAGGTAAGTTACGCGAGAATTCAATTGATACCATTGTAACCGATCGATCGGGAGACTCACAAATTGGCGCATTGCAGGATTATCGGTGCACATGAGTCAAGTTCATAAGGAGCAACTCACAGAGATTGAGAATGCGCTCCCCAACCGAGCAGGTTTGGACGTGGAAATCTTCGGCATGGAAGGTGTTCCTGACGATGTGCTCAAGTCTCACCAGCAGCGCGTCATGACTCAATTTCAACAGGCTGAGGCCGAGCGACAAGCTGCGACCGGTAACCCCCCCAGCTGGAGGTAGCGCTGGCGGCCAGCCAGCTAAGAAACCAAAGCTTGAGAACATGTCCGAAATGAAGAGGCGGTTAGCGGAGCATCGAGCCAAGCGCGCCGAAGGTACTGCTGGTGGAAGCAGCGGCGATGTAACTCCTGTGGGCGCGGGCCAGAATTCACCGGCACCAGTCACATATGTACGTCCCATTATTCCCTCGATTCAAGTACCAGATGAAAGAAACAGATGTACTAACAATACTTTTAGCAGGGACAACCACAGCCTGTAGGCGCCACACCAGTGCAACAACACCCATACCCCCAACCGTACGGAGGCGCCACCGCTGCCGCCCCCTACCAACAAACCGCAAGTCCAGGATACCCATCCTTCTCCCCGCCCAGCGGTCAGCAGATTCTTGGTGCAGTAGCGTACCCACCTACAGGATACTCACCTCAGCCATTCCCCGGCGCACCCCCAGCTCCCGGTTACGGAGCCACACCATCACCATTCCCCCAGCAACCCACACCCACCGACTCCAACACCCCTCCTCGACAGGGAAGCCTGCCCATCCCAGCCGGACTCCCCCAACGCCCCGCTTTCGGCGCACCATCAGTCAACTCTCAGCAGATGCAGCAAATGCATATGGGCCACCAGATCCCTCCCGTCCCCGGCACCAACGCTGCATACACGAACGGAGAAGGCAATAACGAAGTGGCCCAGACTGCTACAGGCTTAAACGTTGACGAGCTGATTTCCGGAGCGGCAAAGGAAGCAGCAGCATCAAAGACAACTGATCCATCGACCGATAAACCGAGCAAGAAGGACAAGTCTAAGCCGACTAGAATGATTTACTCGCACGAGACGGTCAGTCCTGAAGAGCGTATGGCTCAGCTCCCCCGGTACGCATTTGATCGCGCACAGTTCCCCGATAACGCAGTCCTCGGCGAGCTCCCTGCCTCGGCGGTGACGGGGGTGATTCGGGACGAGAATACGGTGCTCGACTCGGCACAGTGAAATCCTCCCAACTCTACCCCCAAAAAGAAAGGAAATAAAGGAAGGACGATCTCATTGGCTGTTTCACTCCCATGCGAATTCTCTCGATGGCACAGTGCCGCTAGGCGGCGGACAATGGACAAACGGAACTGGAACGAGAATGAGAACGGGACGGTCATCGATTATCCAGCTAAGTTCGACACATATCTAGCTATACATGAGCATTCGTCTGGCTGGCTATGTTTGTTCGTTTTCTTACCTACCCTGATACCTGATCCATCAGTAGTTCTGGCGAAGCATGAACAAACCTCTCTCACAAAGCGAAAACAAAACCAAAGGCAAAGCAAAAAAGGTCTCGTCTCGAGCATGCCGAGCCATCGTCATCGTCGTCGTCGTCGTCGGTGCGTGAGGTACTTCTCATGGAAGGTAGTTGCTAGCGAGTGACGAAGAATCCGACCGTACGTGTTCTCTGCCCTCTCAAGATCCTTCTCTTTGTTCTTTTTTTTCATGCCTCAGTTTGCATTGTTATCGAGTCTTGTTCGTTCTACACATATATCCTTGACTATGTCGGGTTCATGCTGGATTCGAGGTGGGTCTTTATCTTTACCAGTCCAGCCCACCCTAGCTTTGCCGATATCGATGCCGATGCCGACCCCGATTTAATCTGGATGTAAGTTTTACATGTCTTTTAGCGATGAGTGGTAGAGAAATGAATATGAGTATTTTTAAGGAAACCTGGCTGGTCCGAGTCCTGGTATGATCGTAGTCTGGAGAAGCTGTTCCTAGGTACTGGCATCTTATACTAGTAGTGCGTAAATACTAACCAGTGGCTTTACTATACGTTGCAGACTCGAATCTGACACCGGATCTGATGCCCAGGTGGAATACTAGTAGACTCGAGAAGCAATCGTAGAGATAGCTTAACGCAAAGCTAGGATCTACTACATCTACAAGCATTCCCCGATCACACGGTGTGACACCCAGACAGGAAAGAACTTGAACTCAATTGGACCATAGCTATGGCATGATATCTTCGCTGAAAACAAACCGAAAAGAGCAAAAGTAAAGCAAGTCTCTTCAAAACGAACCCGGGGCCCGCACCTTCAAATTGATATCATGTCTCGCCTTTTCATGCTCAACGCAGCGCAGCAAGACAAGACCAAGAACGCAGCTTACCCGACCCATCCGAACAAAACCAAGCTTAAACCCAACAACCCAACCTAAGCCCTCTTCCCACGATAAGCGAGCGCAAAAACAATCGCACCGTATGTAGCCAGAATAGAAAGACCAGCAGGAACCGCCTTTCCAGTCTTAATAGCGCGAGGAATCGAGCTACCGCCCAAAACAGCGCTAGCCAAAAGACCGAGTTCCTCGCCCCAGGGCTCGCCAGCGCGAAGGCGGAAGAAACTGAATAGGTAGATTGCGCCGACGGAGAGACCGGCTGCGATTGAGGGGATTGAGCCTGTGCGGGCGAAGCCGATTGAGCCGCCTAGGGAGGTGAGGAGGGAGAGGACGAGGGCGGAGGTTGTTGGGAGGGTGTTTGAGGTGGACTGTGGGGGTTTTTTTGGTTAGGGGGGTTGTTTTTATGGGGGATTTGGGGTGGGTTACCATTTTGGAGGATTGAATTTGGTGAGATTGGGGGATTGGAAAGGTGGTGAGGTGGGTGGTTGTGCAAGTTGTGATGGTGGTGAGATGCTTGGAGTATGGGGTGATTAGATTAGTAATGGCCAGTGGGATGGGATGTGGGGAGTGGGGAGTGGGCCGAGGTCGAAGTATACGAACTTGAAAGCTACAACTTGAATAAGTACGGATTACACTTCCATATCTAATTATGGACGAAAGATATAGTAAGGACAACATGAAAGTGAGAATTAAAAGAGATAACTCTTTATTGCCAGAAGTTATCCTGTATGCATGTCATTCATTACTTTGTTCAATCTAAATGCTTCCCATGACGGCCATTAAGAACATGCTATGCAAGAAAAAGTCGAATACAATCAGAGCAAGGCCCTCATGGGCAGTGCTATTATCTCCGGTTAGCTCCATTAGACGCATCCACAGCACCATAAGTGCCCACGGAACCATTTTCTCCCTGTACCTCCTCTTCCTCCTCTTCCTCCACCTCACGATAAGGTCCATCTTGTTCCACAATCCAAATGGCTGGAATCACACTCGTGAGTGTAAGAGCACTGAGAAGCCACCAGGGAATAATCACATATCCCCTCTCAATACCCCAGGAAAATACGGTGCCGATCAACGCCGGCCCAGCAGCACGACCAAGAGCACTGACGCTCGTCGCAACCCCGTTAAGAGTTCCAAGGACAGTCACACTGGAGGCTGAGTTTGTGAGAAGAATCGTGCAGCATGGAATGGCAAAGATAACCGAGCCAAGCTTGGCAAAAAGGATGAGGAGGACACTGGGAATACGGAAAGGTTCAGGGGTCAGAGCTATGAAGGGCGTCAGGAAGAAAATTATCGGCATAGACAGAGCGGCTACTCTGAAACATCTTAATACGCCGAAACGCTGCACGATCGGTGGGAAGAAGAGGAATTGAATGAACATTCCTGCAATCCCGCTGATCGTGTAGAACAGACCGATTGTTTGGGCATCTACCGTTGATAATATCGTCAGTTTGAGAACAGTGAAAAGATGATGATCCTAGGTGTTCTGCGAGATCTCGATGTAAACATACCGATGCCAAACCCACTGGCGAATTTGAATGGTAGCTCTACATCCGGATTATTCTCCAAATCTTGGACTGGCCAGTGCAGAAATACAGGGAAGACCGAGTCAAAGGCCATTCCGAGGCCAGAAACCAGCGTATACGAAATGAGCACGAGAGTTGACTGGGGCGTGAATATTTGCGACCACTTAGTTTGAGTCACGGGCTTCAGTCTTTTCGGCTTTATCGAGGCAGGTCTGTCCTCGGCAAGTAAGGGCGTCTGTTCTTCGTCGTCGTCTTCGTTTTCAAGTTTCGATCCCAGTTCGCGCTTTCTACGCGATGTGCACGGCTCAATAAGTGCCTGACCCAAGACCAGACCAGGATCATAACGATCCTTCTTGGTGGCTAGCGTTTCCTGTAAAGATAAAGATATCAGCGATCCGAGACCTTCGAGTCCTAAAATGAATACTTCTTCTTACCTTTAGAAACAAAATACCCGTAGTGATACCGACGATAAAGAAGCAAGCCGAAACCAAATTCGGTAACGCAAATGGATACCGTTTAAGAAACTCAGATCCACCAAAGAGATTCGGATGTTTCTCAGCCGGCCGAGCAAGCGCCCCTCCAAAAGCCGGTCCAAAGATACTACCGATCGTCCAGACCATAGGCATAATACTGAAAGCACGAGGCTGTAGCTCACGCTGCGGTACAATCTCCGCAACCATAGTGCGGATGATGCCGACGTTCCCGTTCATGAAGCCGATCAAAGCACGCGATACCAGAACCATCGATAGACTCGACGACATACCAAACATGATCGACAGCAGCATCGTAAAGATCTGCCCGCTGATAATGACCGGCTTGCGTCCTATACGGTCGGACAATGCGCCCCAGGCACTGCCATCACCGCCTGAGTCACGGACGCGACCGCGGAGGCGATGCCGGCCCATTTGGCGACTTCGGGCTTGGGAACGCCCACATATTCGATCAGTTCAGGCTATTTGCGAGGCGTTAGTGGAGGCCTTTTTTTTCTTTCTTCGGAGTGTTTCAGAATATTGAAAAATATTTCATATGTTGAAGGTGGTGATGTTTGGGTGGAGAATGGCGTCAACATGTCAGGAACAAAACCTACCAAATATGGGAGAATCGACGTGAAGACGACTGTTCATAGGTTGATCTTAGTTGCATATTCTTGCCAGACGAAAAAAAAGAGAAAAAAAAAATCTATGGGGTAGTTTTTATTTCGGAGAGTGACACATACTGGGCTCTGACAGCCGACATATAGCTAGTTTATAAGCAAATTAGTGAAAAGGTCTTTCAAGGGGAACTCGGAGCGGTAAAAAGAATGAGTAAGGACCCTTGGAGGCAACATGAACATACACAGAATAACCAGCTGCTGGACGGGCAGCTGTGGTTTTTGCATTCTCGTCTAGATGGAGGCAGGCGGTCTCCTCTTGCTGCAACCGGCAGCGCAAAAAAACGAGCAAAGAAAAAGAAAGAAAAGAATGAGGAGAAAAGAGAGGGAAAAAAGCAACCAAAGCGAAGCCGCGGATGGATAATCCGCCAGATCGGCAAAAGCGCGATGACTCTTGCTCCACTCTCATTGCCTTCGGGGTCTAAGCCGCTTTAGTGTCGCTGCAACCGGACTTCTGCGCGATGTCAGCTGGCTACACTGGAAAGGTGAAAGGTGGAAGACCCAATTAAAATAGGTAATCTCAAGTGCCATGTGCATTCTTTTGATTTCATTCTCGATCAACTGCGCTGTAGCGCCGCCAGACTACGTAGTATCATTTATAACAGGTTCTTCTGAATATTTACTAAAATCAGATTTAAATCACCTTCGCGAGATCAGCTTGGTTGCTGCTCCCACCCGCTCTTGGATGATTTTACCCCATTTCTGTAAAGAGAAGAGAAAATAGTTAGCAAGTTCAATCAATATAATAAAAGACATGGGAAGTTGAAAATAGAAAAAAAAAGGTTCACGTACCTTGGCATTCTCCACATCTCCGGCCTCGAGGCTCTCCACCAGTCCGGGGTATGTGGCGCCCGAATAACCAGTCCAAATACCCGGAGCAAAGACGACATGCTTGAACCAGTCACGGCCATCAAGACCCGGTTGGTAGAGGAACGCACGTTCGATACCCTTATACTTGTTGTTCGCAATCCGGACCTGGAAGAGAAGTCTGACCTTCTTCCACCAGTGGTACCACGGGATATCCTCGCCCAGCTTGGTGTTCAGATCCGCAGTCCAGGCATCGAATGTCTTTGCGGCCTCCAGGAACTCAATGATAGACAAATCCAGTCCGGAAAAGTCAAAGTGTTGCCCGTCGTGAAGTTGATCCGCTGAAGGCTTAGCCCGGCTCAGATATGAGCCCAGTCCAAGGGCATAGTCAGTGGCATTGAAGGAGATCACCGGCGTCTCAATGAGCTGGGCAGCTGCAAGAGCCCAGAGCTTAGTGGTTGCAATATGGTACTCCCAATTCTTATCACCAAACTTCTCCATCCACGCGAAGCTGTCATAGTTCGAGTGATAGTGGTAGACGGGGTCGTTGGCCCCACGACCGAATCCAAAGTCGAGACTAGCAATACCGGCAAAGTCTTGGAAAGCAGTAAAATCACTACCACTTCCCATGGTTGCGATCTTACCATTCCAAACATCGCGGACTGTCTGACCCGGCACCGTCTGGTTAGGGGATTGCACAAGGCCAGTCACATCATAGATGACTTTGTTCAAAAGGGGAGCGGCACGAGGGCCAAAGTCTGTGCCAGCCGCAGCGACATCAACGTTCAGGTACGCGACATTAGCCTTGGACAGCCAAGGAAGGTATTCTTCCACCCATTCAGTAGAGCCGAGCAGGCCATACTCCTCGCCATCCCAGCTGGCGAAGACAATGGTGCGCAGTGGCTTCCATCCAGCCTTCATGGCCTCGCCGAAGCTGCGAATGACCTCATTCAGAGCAGCGGATCCGCTGTTGGGATCACCCGCACCACCAGCAATCCAAGCATCGCGATGGTTACCAAGGACGATGACCTCGTCGGCGATGTGGCCCTTGACGACACCGATGACGTTCCACAGTGGGGTAGTCACATATTCCTGTTGATTGTCCAGATTGATGACCACGTCCTCAGGCGAAGGTCCAATATTGTACTCCACGCCTTTATAGCCGAGACCGCCGCCCTGCCAGTACTTGTTGAAGTCCGAAGCCTTAGGACCATGTCCGTTCAGAGCCTTGAGGAAAGGTAGGACCTCCTTGTAAGAGATAGGCAGGGATGGGATGGAAGGAATGGAGCCGTGCGGATCCTGGCGTTCGCATCCGGGCTTGGAGGGATACCCCGGCGTCGTGGGATCACCAGGCATGATACCTGACCGAAGAGTTAGCTAGGCAACCACCTTCCATTAAGGAAAATAGAATACATACTCAGGAACTGCGTGCTACCCCTCTGGATGGCACTTGGGTTGCGAGCAGGGCCATCCGGATAAGCCTCGTAACCATTCTCCTCCGTGATTTCGCCATCCTCCTGGGGATCGCTATAGATCACCACACCCACCATGCCAAGCTCTTGCGCACGCTTAACCTTCAACCCGCGGAAGATTCCACCATATTTAACGATGGCAATCTTACCTTCCAAGGTTACATTTGCGTTCACAAGGTCTTCGAAGTCTTTATAGGAGCCGAAGTTGGCATACACATATTGGGCAGTGACATTACCGCTGGCGGAGTATCCGTGGAAGACAGGCACTCTTTCCGGCAGACTGGAAGTGGGATCTTCTTCCAGTACATCTTCCTCCAAGGTCGCTTCGAAAGTGACCTCGGTGTCTTTGCCAGACTTCTTCAAAAGAGCTAGACGGTGATCTTGCGGGTAGTTAAGGTAGATGTCATAGGTCGCAAGGGTGGTATCCTCGACGCCAAATTCCTTCCATTTCTCCAGGGTCCAAAGAGCCTGACTGAGGTTCTTTCCCGCCAGGTGGGGACCAGCAGTATAGTACTCGCTCCATTCACGGGCCTTCGCTGCCGAAGGGGTATTGATGAGAACCTGCTGAAGCTGGTCATATGGGAGACCAAAGCCTCGCGGCCAGGCATCGTGAGGGTATGGGTTGGACCAGGGAGCATATGACCAGATTGAACCGTGCCCCCGCGGCAGAATAGCACCGGGGATCATGAACAAAATGGTGGCCACCACTAGAAGCGTGCCGAGGAAGAAAGTACAGGTGCGACGAAGGGCATGATGTGGGTACCGATGCCGCCGCGGGGCGACATGGACCTCCAGCAGAGGCGTTGTCTCGGAGTACGGCATGTCTTTCTCCCTCATTTTCTCAAATGATTTGGGAGAAAGTAAGAGAAAAAACCCCGGGACGATTGAGGAGGGGAATTGCTATGTCATTGCCCAGTCGAGTCTCGAGCTCTCCGCACTTTATCGCGTTATCGCATGACTAAGCGGCCCCTCACTAGTGGAGAAGGTATCCACCTTCCGCTTTGGGCCGAGGGCAGCGTGCTGTATAGCTGACTCGATATACTTCGCAACTGTCCTAGACAAAATGCCGAGGAAGGCAGCAGAAGCATAAATTGTAAGTTTTAGAGGATCATTGGACCATGAAATCTCGGGACAAATACTAGCGACTACGATACTGGGATTTGAGTTGAAAGTGGACCAAAGTACGTTGACACCCATGTTGTCGGCACGGGGTATGTGCTAGTATCAGAGCAGTGGAGAAGAAATAAGATGGGAACTACTATGTAAATTGAAGATGAACTAACACATAAAGTATCACATTTCGCACCACCAATTGCTGAGATCTGGAATGTCAGGATTCTATTTGAGACTCGATCGAACTTCTTAACTCGATTCTAGTACAGCCTGACTCGTCCACGATAATACTTCTAGCACGCTACAAAATAAGCGAAGCCAAATTATCTACACTGCTATTATGACTCGGTATTCATTACCCCGGAAAATGAGACGAATGGAACGGAAATTGGACTGGGTCGAGGTCAAAGAGCCAAACGTTGCATCGAACTCTCGGGTCCAGCCGATCATCTGAAGAGTTGCGGTCTATGTTTAAATGCAGCAAATGTCCTGGGAAGTATATACATCGAATACCATGTTTTGATATACAATGGCTGTTTCATATCTCAAAACCGCAATTGTTGCAACAATTGCAGCTGGCATCGGCTGCAATGCCGCCGTTCTCGACAAGCGGGAGATTGCACTGGGAGGAGGTAGCGATTGGCACAAATACGTTCGCTCTCCAGCTACCTCAATTGTGAAGCCCAAGGCTATTCTGTCAGCAAATACCACAGGTGATGTGGCTAATCCAAACGGCTTGCTTGATAGTCATGGGTCTCCGACAGTCTTGACACGCAAAGGAAGTGACGACAAAGTCCCGTCGATGGTGGTGGATTTCGGACAGAATGTCGTCGGAATAGTTTCCATTAACTTTGCCGGCTCTACCAATTCTTCAGAAGGATTTCCAGGCCTGAAGCTGGCTTTCTCGGAAACTCAGCAGTTTTTGACCAACACCAGTGATTTTACTAGATCGGATAATATGCCGGAGGTATGCAGAAACTTCTATGATGACTCGATAGCCTTATTGTATTCACAATCTATTAACACTGTTCTAGGGCGAAAAACTCACCAATGGCACTGACCAGGTAAGTTATCCCCATCGAAGACACTCCAAGTACACGCTCTAATTTCTTTCTAGATCGCCGTTTCAAATGATCCATACACCTGGAATGACAAGACTGGCTGTCAATATGATACAAAAGTATGCTCGGATGGGGTTCATGGATTCAGATACATGAAAATCTGGCTCGATGCCCTCGAAAATGATGCCCCCTACGCACAACCATACGGATCGGTATCCATCTCAAACATTGAACTCGAATGGTCCGGCTATCTCGGAACGCCAGATACTTTCACCGGCTGGTTCGAATGCTCTGATGAGGATCTGACGCAGTGGTGGTTTGATGGCGTGTACACTGCTGATATGGGGACCGATATTTTCCTCGCTAACGAGACCGATCCAAGAGACTCGGCTACACCAACATTGGAGGGCAAAGAGGTTCTCTTCGACGGAGCTAAAAGAGATAGAGATCCCTATGTTGGTGATCTTGGTGTTGCTGCGCTTACTTCATATCTGTCGCATGATAATCCCGACTCCGTTCGCAATATTTTGGCGGATTTGGCCGAGCACCAGAGGGATGATGGCTGGATTCCTCCGGCTAGTATGTAAGTTACTCACTCCGGGATTTCCAGAATTCAGAGTGTTCAGTTTTGACATCATAAACAGCAATAACTATACTCTCAATCTTTATGATTATCCTATGTGGTGGGTGGTCTGCACCGTCGATATGGTCATGTATACTGGCGATACGGACTTTGCGGCGCAATACTACGACGTGATGCGAAAGACACTGGACAACTATTATGGCCAGAATCTTACCTCCACTGGTGGCCTCCTTAACAAGACAAATGGCTACGGTGATTACGCATTCCTCCCTCGCTCCGGCGTCATCACATACTACAATGCCCTTTACGCCCATGCATTGAAGTCAGCAGCCAAGTTGGCCGACATACTCGGCCATGGCACCGACCGCGATACCTGGAGTTCTCGAGCCACTGAAGTCGACGAAAAACTGTTGGCTAGAAACTGGGATGCCTCCGTTGGAGCATTCTACGACGGTGGACCCTGTCCCGACAAACCTGGCGACACGATCTGTGATGTTCACGCTCAAGATGGGAACGGCCTAGCCGTTCTTGCGGGCACTGTGAATTCGTCCTTGGCTACCAGCCTGCTAGACTATTATGGCAAATCTACCGCTCGCCCCTACGGCAATGCCTTCTACGACAATGATTCACTTCAGGCTGGATTTTCCCAGCGCGTGTATGCTTTTATTTCTTACTTTGAGCTTGCTGCGCGCTTTGCTACAAAAGGGGCTGCGGGATCCGCCTATGAGGAACTGAAGCGTCTTTATGGGTGGATGTCGACTCATGATCCTGAGATTACATTCTGGGAAGGCATTGGTCCCAACGGGTCTCCTTATGAGGATGGATTTACCTCTATGGCGCATGGTTGGTCAACAGGTATCGTGCCTCTTATGAGTAACTACGTCCTCGGAGTCAAGCCCACCGGTCCTGGTTTCAAAACTTGGGAAATTTGCCCTGTTACTGAGGGTAATGTCACCTGGGCCCGTGGCCAGGTTGGCACACCGCATGGCCCTATCAAAGTCTCGTGGAGTAAGAAGGACAGTGATGGTTTCGAACTTCATATTGATACACCCACTGGGACCAGCGGTGTTGTTTGTGTACCGGTCACAGGCTCCAAGAATGAACAGGTTTATGTCGATGGAACAAAGGCCGAAGCCGAAGTGTCCGCGGCCACTGATGAGCCAACTGGAGCGGCTAAGGTCATCAAGACCAGTGGCGGCGCCCATGAAATATTGGTTAGCGTCTAAGAGAGTGGCCATGAGAAATCGGATTCATACTAGTAGTACTTTTGGCGGTTGTTAGTTCAGCTACTAGTTACTATTGGTTATTTTTGGAAAAAGAACAATAAATCAAGCCCGAAACATATGAACTCCATTATGCTGATGAATGATGCAATGAAACGCAAGAGGTATCACGGTGGTTATCATATACAATCGCTAAGCCAAATAAATCCATACCCATCCAAAATCGAACAGACATATCCACAATCTTCAACGGCATGGAATACGTAGAAACTATAATATTTCATCTTCGGCCGGAACGGGCACCTCATCATCCAATGCAGGATTCAGCTTTTGACCCAGATCAATGCTATCTCTCAGGATTTTGCGTGCAGCGTCATCGTCGACGCGCATATCTTCTTTGACGAGGCAAAGAGCAAGCTCGGGGACGAGGACGGACTGGGCGTAGCCAGCTACACCCGCCGTTTTGATTATGTTGTCCGAGGCCGATAAGCGACGCAAAGTAGCGGAGAAGCGGTCAACGACAGCCTGTAGCCTGTGACAGAATGCAAGGTTAGTATTGCCCCAGTAAATAGATGGGTTGTGCGAGTGGGCGCTTGCTTACATTTTCGCTGCTCCTTTCGTCCCATAATATCCACACGAAATATTTTCAATACCATCACCCGCCATTGTAAGGCGGAAGTTCTGCGCCTTGCCATCCTTCATGATGGTAGACAGTATATTATGGTAATAAGACGGGTGTTCTGGAGCCAGAACCTTTTCCAACTTGGGGAAAAAATTTTTGATGCGCTGATCAAAGGTTTCCCAATTGATCTCTGGATATCCCTGTTCTTGCCATTCCGTTTTGGCCGCATTCTTTTTGTGCGATGTGCAGAATTGCTGCTGATCGCGGACACGCTGGTTCGGCTGGGCCTCGAAGAGGATGAGTAGATCTGGGTCAACCTCCTCTTTACACATTGGACACAACCATCTCCGCGGTGCAAGGGGCTTCATATCAGTTTCATCTTCGAGTAGGTTTATGAAATCCGAAGGCGCAGAGCTGAGTGGTGAGCTGGAGCCTGAACCGCCCGAGGGGTCTAGAGCCATTTGTTCATTATCTCTGGAGAGCGTTGATTCAAACGAGGATTTCGAGTCGGGGTGTAGAGGAGGTACAATGAAGCCAGAGGGTTCCGCGGCATAGTCGTTATCAGAAGTCGGTTGGTCGATTTCCATAGCTGGTTTGGATTCAGCTTCTGATTCTGAAAGTTCTGTCAACTCGGACGATTCTGATGTATCATTCTCCTCGGCGCTCGGTGATTTCTTCGAAAATGTACTTGGTACTTTGAACCGATTGTTAGGCGGGGAAGCAGCAGAGCGTGCGCTTGAGCTCGGGACTTTCGAGAAAGAGGTGGTCGGATATGTCTTTGTCTTGAAGCGCTTGTTCTGTGAGGATCGCCACGACGAGAAGATTTCTTCCTCGTCATTGTCGTCGCCCGTCATCATACTGGAGGTCCTCCGCAGGGCGTTTTTCCTGGTCGATCCAGCTCGACTCTGAGAGCTAAAAGCTCCCGCCCGTACAGGTGCGGGGGACGGAGGTGCATTTAGCTTCTCCATTAGTGTCCTTTCCTTGAACCGATCCTCATGCGCCGGGAGTTCGACAGAGTCTCCGGTCAATTCTTCGTCGTCAGAACTAAGTGGTTCATCATCTGTTCCGGGTTCAGGCGCTTTGCTTTCGAAGACAGGCTCGGGCTTGGGGCTGCGTTCCGCGGCGGCATCTTGCTGGGGCATGCTGAAGGTGGAAAGTAGATGTCCACTAATGTTGCGGCTTAATTGGTTCGACGCACGGCTTGAATCACGTTTAGGTTGATAGTGCATTATACAAAAGACGGGGTCTTGGGGATTCGAAGAGGCTGGGGAGATCGACAGGTAGATCGTATACAAGGAGCGACGAGGTTGCGATGCGACAATGTGATAGGGGCGTCAATCGGAAAAGGGAAAGGGAAGAGAATTGGATCTGAAAGAAAACCAACAAAGAAAAAGAAAGTCGCGGGCCAAGGGGCCGATTCACAAATGGACGAGCAAAGAAAGAAAGGTGAGAATGAGTGGTGAGTGGTGAGAGGGGAATTGGAGAACGCGCGTGACACGACAAAGTGGCGCCCCACAGCGGAGACTCGTTTGACACCAGTTGTTAGTTATACTCCGTAGTACTTGTCGAAACCAATTCAAGCTATTCGAGCTATTCGAGCTACCTCTCTGTACATGACAGCTGCACATTTATAAACATCTCGGGCACCTAGGCAAAACAATGCACCTCTAAAATGAACAAAAAAAAGTCCCTAGCAAAAATTCTCAGGAATGAACCCAACCCCCCTCATTATTCAAAAGTCATTGAAAACTCCTCTTCTCCATGTCCGTGTCCAAAATCATCGTGATCTGCCCAAGCATTCGGCTCTAGGGCCATAGCTCCCACGGCTGTTGCGCCCACAGCTGTTGCACCAATTGCAGGCATAGTAGAAGAGGTTCGTAGTTCGGGCCGGGAGGGTGGATCGTGTGAGTACCGTGGGGGTGGGTCGTGATAAGAAGTATCAAACGTCATTTCAACCTCGTCCTCCTTATGCGTGGCCGAGTAATCATGGGCAGCCGGGGGTTTGGCGGCTGTATTCAGTTTAGGCTCGGATGCCGTTCGTTGAAGGGAGACGGAGTCGTCGTATTCGGCGTCCTTCCCCTTTTCTTTCTCCGCGGGGGTGGTGGGTTGGGTAGATGCCGACTCTAATGGTCGGTTCAAATTTAGTTTCATTGGAGGCAGGGTAGACTCCAGCTGTTTAACTTCGATGGCTTCCGAGGCCAACTCAGCTCGGATAGCCTCAATATCGAAGAGCACCGAGCCCGGTGCACTCTTATCAATCGGATCGTGTGGTGCATTTTTCTGGTTAACGTCGTAGGTCTCCCAAGATTTCTTCTCGGCCATCTTGCCACGCTTGAAGAGACCGAACCGCTTTTTCTCCGGCTTGAGCTCTGCTTCTCGTCGAGCTTCATCGATCTCGCGAATCAGCTCTCGCTGGCGCTCGGCGTGGTTCTCAGGGTCCGGGTCTTCAATTTCTGCGAACTCGTCACCTAAGACTTCCCAACCCACCTCTCTAAGAATTCGAGGCATCGCGGAGCGGTAAGCCATATGTCCATTGACAAGTTCGGTCAAGTTGAAATTCTCCAGCCCTGGGATACCCTCAACAGCTGCAAGACCGGAGACACGCATGATACCACCACTGGTTGCCCGGAAGAGGTAGCCAAGAATCCAATCATTCGTACAATATCCGTTTACGAAACGGCCAGACACCACACTGCGCGCTTTGAGGTATTCATCCTTGCTTGCAACGATTGGCGATCCGAAGAGGTAGACATTCTGAACAAGTCCGTGGCAACCCTTATTAGCTAGCTCCGTAAGGCATGAAAAGATGACCCGTGCACCCAAAGAGAAACCAAGTAATGTGATGGGTCGTTTACCCAGGTTGCGATCTTCCAAAGAGTCGGCCATTACCAGCCCAGCCGAGTGCGCACGAGCCAAGGAAACGGTCCACGGGTTATCAATCAGGTAGGCAAGTTTGGTCAGGACAAGAGGCAGTTGTAATGATGCCATCAGTGCCATCAAAATAGTACTTCCCAGCACCTGCTGTAGACCCTGGGTCAATGCCTAAAAGCGAGTCAGTTGCATGCGCGGTTTGAATTTTGTTGGGAGAATATTTTACCTCTGTCGCAAGAATATTGATTGTGTCTCCCATGCTTCGAAGCATCTCGGGCTCCCACAGAACGGAATAGATATCACCCATGATGGGATCGATTGTACTGTAGGGTAATCGAACATCATCGACCTTTCCAGTCATCCATCCGGACACTGTCACAATCAGATTGACCTTCTTGTTATTGTGCAAAGGCCGGTATTCAAAGGTCTGAACCGCGCCAGTTCGGCGATGCGAAGCTCTCAAGCCAATGGCACTCCCACCAAGAGTGGCACTTGATGCAATCAAAGCAGTGCCACCAAGTCCACCCAAAAACGTGCTGGTTCCACCAATACCGACGGTCGTTAATCCCGCAGCAAGACCAGCTCCAATAACAGGGGCCAACAACCCAGCCGACAAGCCGATTACCAGTCCACCACCAACAGTGGCCAACCCCATAACCATATATTTCGTCTTGCGAGACTTTTGACGACGCTTTTCCATATGCTCTGATTCATCCCAGTTCTCTTTGTCTGCCTGCTCTTGCATTTCCAGTGCGTCTGTGACGCGCTTCTCGAATCGACATATTTGCAGCCAGGTCACATCCATAGACTCGCCAACTCGCTCCAATAGGGTCCGGGACCGCGCATCATACGCTGAGTCGGCAATGAGAACAAGAAACAAATCACACAGGACGGTCCATCGGAGATCGATATCAATTCGGTCGGATGTTGGCATTTGAGATGGTGTTTTGACTTCCGTAGGCTCATCGTCTTCGTGGGCTTCATATGGTGGCGGGGAACCCAGTTCTGATGACGCGTCGGTCTCAACTGACATGCGCGAACGAGGGTCTCCTTTCGAGGTAGGGGATGATAATGATGCCGAGGAGGAAGACTCGTGAACAGTTTCGGCCATTGGGTTTTTGACACGCGCGTTTTGCATAAGTGGTCGAACGAGGTCCCCAGGTTGGACTCCATGCTCGGCAAGTTGCTCAATCATAATTTGTTCCGCCGAGTTGATATCCATATGCATATACAACCGGCCCATCATAGCCTGGCCCCATTTTCTCGTGGAGTCGGACGCTTTTTGGTGCGTCTTGCGGGTTGATCTCGTGACCGGCAGCTTCGACAACTCAAGATTCATCTCGTGGATTGCTAGACGAACCACACCCACGTAGGCGATCTTCTGGGTTTCGTTGAGAAGGTCTTTTGTGGCTTGGAGCTGGCTGACAGAGTCACGGAGCTCTTCTCCAACCAGACCAGCTGAGTTGTTTGCTGAGTCTTTGAAAAGATAACTGGTATCTTCATCCATACTTGTAGCAGACTGGGCATCTTCGTCGAGCTGAACTCGAGTGTATCCCTTTCCTGCACCTCCAAGCCCTTGGTATACCGCATCATTGTCCTCCTCCTGGGCGCCACGGGCGATCAGCCTCCCATAGTCGTCGTAGTAGTCGAACTCTCCCAGTGCCGGCATGGCTTTCCAATCCACCGGTTCCTCGTCTTCCTCTTCACTATCGTCGTGCGCTTGGTGGGGCTGAGCGATTCGCATATGTGACCATTCCGAGAACTCGACGTTTTTGGGCTTCGAAGTGGACGATCGGGGGAGGCGACAGCTCCGGCGGCTTCAGGGTCGGGTTTCTGTGTGGCTGCATCTGCGGGCGTCAGGGATTCAGGATCCTTGTTTGGCTTTGATGCTTGTTTTTCTGGCTCCGCGTTTCCAGTTGCTGCCTCCAGCTTTCCCTTGGTATCCCCAACTTGATTGACATCTTGTTCTGGCGTCGAATCATTTGCAGGGCTTGCGGCTGGCTCTGGCTCTGAGGAGTCTGTGGGGGGTCGGCCGTTGCCTTCGGAGGGGTCTGGGGTTGCCGGTTCGGGTTTCGCGCGAGGTCGAATTGGTAAACCAAAGTCGTCGAACTCCAGCGGTGCCTCTATCGGCTTCTGTGAAACTGTATCAGTCGGCCCAGAGCTGTTCTCGTGGGGCGTTATGTTCTCCTTTCCCTTCCCGGTGACATCTTCCGGGGCGACTGCAGCCGACGGCTGAGGCGTATTAGGCGTAGAGTTTGCAGAAGAGGCAGTGATCTGATCGGGGGCCCCGTCGCTGGTGACACCCGCTTGGGTCATGATTTCACATCGACAGTCAACCCTGGTGAGTTCGTGGTTTCTGAATGCCGATCCGGGTTGGCAGTGCGTCCTGGCTTCCAGGCACGTTCCTCGCGATGCTTGGGGGGAGCACACCCATTCCAGTCAAAGGGTGGAAGAAGAAATTATATGGAAGTGGTCCGATGCGCCGTGGTGGACCGGATCGTGGCCCTTTGACTGGTGAGTCTCCACAGATGACGGCCACGCGGAAAAAGGAGGTCGGCGAGGCGGGAGGCAATGGCGGGGCTGGCAGTTACAGCAAGCAGCCAACAGCTAATGTTTAATAGCCAATAGCTAATAGCAAGCTCGATCAGGGTGAAAGAGTATAATCAAAAACGATTGTGAACAAAACAAAATGAAAGTACTGAGAAATAAATGGAATTGAATCCTTTCGCAACCGAAATCAACCACCGCGTCATCCCACGGCAGCGCCGAAAGCGGAAGACCGAGCACAAGCGATGCTCCCAATGCAGAAAGTCAACAAATATACTCGGGAATAACAGAATAAACAGCTGCAAAAAATATGATTTAAATACAAAAAGATTCCTCGTCCTATTTAATATCAGGAGATGTCATTTTGGACGTTGTTTGGTCACATATTTTAGAAGTTCTGATCGATTATCTTTGTTGCCTTCTGCCGATCACCACGATTCCCCCGCAATCACCCAAGGACTTAAACCTGGATGGGATACTTCGGTAGTGCAATATTCTCGGCAGATACCCCTTTTTCGAGAGGGGCTTATAACTGAGGAAAGTCTTTTGTCCAGGAGGACCTGGCTCAGGTACCAAGGACACAATTCAAGTTAAGTTTCATTTTATCTTTGAACGGAAACATACTACTAGTACTAACTTGAAGATAATCACAAAATCGAATTGAACCCCATTATCTCTTATTAGTAGCACACTTAATTACTTCCTTGCAAGCCGACTGCTCGTATCCTGAAAATATTACCGGCAGCAATCCAGTAGCCGCCTCCAAAACCATTACTTGCGTCCTTAATACGACCCTAATCATCGCCATTATAGTATCCATCATCCCCCTGATCCGAGAAGCCACAATCTTCATATCCAGTATATCCAGTATCAGTTTCACCTAAACCCTCCTCATTTTCTTCGAAATAGCCAGTAGATTCCTCCTCGGGAAAGCACCCAGTGTAGCCAGCATTTTTCTCTTCGGCATAACCAGTAGACTCGTCGTTAGGAAAGTTCCCATCTTCATTGAGAATGGGTCCAGTACCGTCATTATTCGAAAGATCCGAATCCTGGCCTTCAACATATCCAGCATCCATGCCACCGGCAAGTCTGTCATCATCAATAGACGATGTGTCCGAGTTTGAATCCTCTCCTACTATGTACGACGTACTAGTAGTATGCTCCACTTTATGATGACCCGATGTCATGAAAGCTCTAGACAAAGCCTTCGGCAAGGACTTGGGAAACGAATGATGTAAATTCGACATGCGAGAAGTCCTTCCGAGCCGCTTTTGACTTCGGTCCAAGAGAAGATTATTGTGGTCTTCGAAAGCGGGTAAAATCTCGGCCTCGTACCAATGAGGGTTCTCGACCAGAGTCGCCCAGTCCCAATGACCTACAATCTGATCAGGCGTAATCTCCCATTTGCAAAGACAAGAGTTATTGTAATAAAGATCCTCGTTGCCGTACGGGTTATGCACATCGTAACGTAGCATTTCCCATTCGATGTTTCCCATTGGTAGGCCCTTTTCGATGCGCGCGTTTGGGTTGATCATTGTAAGTGTTCGGGGAGGGTCTCAGACACTCCGAGCTCTTTTGAGACCAAAGGGCCTTGAGTTCGGAAATGAATGATTTGTGTCTTTCGTCCTCTCGTATCTCTGTGTCAACATGCGATGCGACTGGTCTTTCATGATTTCTTGGTGTGAAGTGAAATCGAGCTAGGCGAGCCTGCGTTCGGCCCAAGCCATCGATGCGGCATGCAGAGCACCGTTCCCAAAGCCTTATGAGTGGAAATGGGTAAATAGGACCTGTCTGACTAGCTGATGAGTGATTGGGCATTTCCCTCTTTTTATGAAAGGGATCGATCGCGCCAACAAGCTCTTTTATATGAGCTTTATCGAGAACTGGGTTTACCATCTGAGATCTGGGCGATGGATTGCGAAAAAAAAAGATAAAAAACAAACTGACAAGGGAATATTGGGAAAATAGAAAATGTGTCCGGGAACTCTAGAAGCCCTGGGTCGTAGCTATGATAGAGAGGTTTCTAAGGTGATGTTATTGATGTGATGGCATTATGATCGGCTGATATAGTACTACGCAGAACCGTCAAATATTTCCAAGTTTGTCAATCTTCGAATTTTGTTTCGCACAAAATGAAACTGAGATACTAGAGCAGTTGTATGTATGAATTTCTCTCCCATGCCGTGGAGCTATCAGTTCGAAGGCCATGACTAACTAGAGTCGCCTCTACTACCCTCCAGAAATGGCAGTGCCTTTCAACTTTACCTGTAAGCTTCTGCTGATCCTATACATAAATACTATGTACTATGACATGACGTCAATATCTCGGAATAGCACCGTCACTTTCCCTTTTAGGAACCGCCTTATTATGGTCTACTGGCTGTCTGGATGTCCGAAAAGGATGTGAAAAAAGAATTCATTTGACGATTGAATGAAAATGAGAATAAATACCTTATCAAAATTGTCGTGGGAAGAAACAAAAGGAAAAAAGAGAAATGGCGGGGCCCTTTGTCGGAGATCGTATAACATAGGTTCAAAGGTTTAGCGTGATACAGCCTTGAAGCTGGGATGCGGTGTGTATGAAGAAGTACTACTAGTGCTAGTATCAAAGACATACGTTCGAAGTAGAATCCGGGAGGCATCAATAGGAGTACTCACCTGCCAGTGGGCAGTATATAGTACGATTAGAGGCCAGTCTGCTTACTTTTTGTATAGTCTCACCGCAAGAGATAAACAGACGCTCAAGGATGACTGGCTACCCGGGCTAAATACGACCCGGGCCCGATACAAATCATCTCGTATCCAATCGGTGAGTATCAACTTGAATATATACTTTTATTCTCCTCTCCAGGGCTTCCCCTCAACTGGACCCTACCAACCAATCCCCATTGCACGCCTTGCATGCAACAGACCTTGATAAAGAATACGAGACACGGCGGCCCGAGGAACGTCATGCAGATCACAGTTCTCACACCCGGGCGAAAATCCTCTTTGTTTGATCGAGGCAGTGCCGAGTACCGTTGACTTGGGCGTGCGAATCAAAAGTCACGATGCGACGGGGAATGGCAGACCCTACATCCGCGCTAGCGCGGGGCTGAAGCAGAAGATCGGCTGTGTTGACCTTGTTCAGACCAATGCATGGCGTCATGAAGACTGCCCAGGGCTCTCGGACGGCGCTGACGGGCGATGCGTGTCAAGTGATGTGCAGGAGACTTGCGGCTCTGAGGCCCCCGCAATGGTCATCATTTCATAAAAAGTATCAGCCTGCTCTTTTCCTCCCTGGCAACTAGCCCGAACTCTGTCACGCAAATCGACGGCTTTCGCCATGTTGATGAATCATCTCCGCTCTTTCACTTGTGTCTTTTTATCGCTATTGACTTGATCTCTTTGGATCTTCTCCCTCCTTCTCACCCTCTTTGTGTTCTTGATACATTTCCCCGTCATGATCATGGCATCAGGTACTCACTCACTCTCTCCCACCCTCACTTTATTTCCCCCTCTTCCATCCCATATGCTAACTTGTTGACTTCTCCTCAGGCTCAGAGCCATCTATCGTCCGTATTGCTGGGGCGGGCTTCCGCCTCTCGCTACTTCTAAATGCCGCGGCCTGCCAGTTGGCGCAGTCTCGTATCGAAATCCACAGCATCGCCAAAGGCATTTCACTATTTGCTTTGACATTAAAACACCTTGGCCAGGCTTTGGAAGCTGGCGACTTGGACCGATCCGTCAAGGCCACCGAAAAGGCCTGGGAGATCGCAGGCCAGGGTCAGATAGTCTTTGTGGAGATCGAGCACATGCTCGACAAACTACAAGGAACCGACACGGATGACGATTTGAGAAGAATACCAGTACAGGAGCGGCTAAGATGGTGTTTCAGAAAGCAACATGTCACCTACCTTCTTGCGCAACTGGATTCTTTGAAGCTGAGTCTCATCGTCCTACATCGGATTCTACAACTGGGAAATATGCTCACCCAGGGCAAAAATAACTCAAACGCTAGCTCTCCTGTACTAGGAACCGAAGACCTTATTGCCCAGGAAAAGGCAGAGGCCCAGAATATGATTATTGTCAGATATTGGTCTGTCAAGCGTCTCGATCGGCTTTGGGATATGGTCGAACATGAAGCGTCCGAAGCGGCAAACGATCCGACCAGTCAAAAGATTCACTTCAACTATTCTAATACTCTGTCGGCTCTAAAACCACTGGTTGCAGCCACCAAAGGAAATGACCCTACCAAGCTACACATGGTGACCTTGGGCGACAGCGAAGTCGGACTTAAGGATCTAGAACGGTCGCCAAAGGATATGGTTCATCTTTCGGAAAAGGCCATGAACTGTCTTCTACGGGCATGGGTACCGTCATTAGATCCATCGAAGCTACATGATCCTGATCTCGATTCTGGCAAGTCCATCGCCCCTCGAGCCTTCGTCTCGTTACACAACGATGGCGACTTGGAGGAGTTGAACTTCGATGAGGAAAATCGTGGCTACTACCTGGAGGGGACGACCGATGACTGGCGAAAGCCTCATTCGCAGGAAGCCCGGGCTCATGCTGCGCAACTTCGGAACCGTTACTCGAATTACCAGGCCCACGTAGATAGCGAATCTGAATCTGATGAGCCTATTCGACGTGAATCCAAACCGGCCAGTCCAGTTAGCCCAACAACTCAACGATTCAGCACCTCGAGTGATGAAGCCGAGCAAAGAAACAACGGTACAAAGCAACCTCCGAAGAACGTAACGTTCAGTGACGGCCGAAAGCACTCCAACAGTGTTTCCTCACGGTACCCACCTAGCCAGTTCCCTGACGGCCGAACAACTGCATACTCCAGCAGCAGCTTCCCACCACCTCCTCCTTCAGGCCCACCCTCATCTCGTCCCCAGGGCCCACCACATTTACAAAGCCAGTCCATCCCGAACTATATCCCGGGACATCCTCAACAATCGTCCCTATCGCAGCCCTTCCAGCAAGCATATCGCTCTCACCCGAGCCAAGAATATAACAGCGCCCCGCGCTCCATACCCAACAGCAATCATCCCAACCAGTCGAACGGATTACCAATCCCATCACCACGGGGGACACCCCCGGGTCCGGGTCAATATGACTTTTATGGCCGACCTCAACCATACAATAACAACATGCTCCAACCACGACACCATAAATCCGCATATGGTCTCTCCACCTCCTCACCCGAGTCTAATTTCCGACCCTCCCCGCCTCGCTCGGGACAGCGATCTCCAACGCATGGCCACCATTATAGATCCTCACGTGAAGATAGTCGGCGCGAGGATCTTCGGAGCGAGACCGGCAGCGGAATTTAACTCGGAACGCGACTCGGGGCTTAGCGGGGATCGGAGCGATCGCTGGATTTATGGATGCGCTTGAAGCATTCTCAATTTAAGTAAGGTATTAGCAGGGGGGGAGGTTCTGCGAATCTTCTGTTTGGCCCTTACTTTCCTATGTGTTTTTTTTGTTTTTCGTATTTCGTATTTCTTAATTTCTGCATTTGCCTTTCTAGGACTAAAGTGTCTGAGAGGTAAAAGGCGTACACATACTATGTAGTATTTCATTATTCGGGCGGGACAGAAAGAAGACTCGGGGAAAGGAAGGAGGAGGAGGAGGAGGAGGAGGGGAGGAGGAGGAGGAGGATCTCCTTGGTTATTATCCATGCATAATTTGTATCGTATCACGACGAGATGAAATATACTTAAGCCACAGTATCATACATAGTATGGGCACGGAGTAACTATGGAATACACAAAACATGAATTTATGGTCCATGGACTCGACACGAGGTTGAAGGAATGTCCGAGTATTTATAAAAGATTCGCCGAGATACATCGATGATTCTCCGGCTCCACACAGTGCGGCCCCTCAATGCATTTAGAAATTTATTTTCAAATCTCGGTTGAGAATGCACCCGGAGCACGGAGGACGGACAATTTACGGATACGGGAATTGCGATGATAATGCGCAATACTCCGTAGTAGTCCGTAGTAGTCCGTAGTAGTCCGTAGTAGTCCGTCGTAAACCGTAGTAACTAGCTAGTCGGTGGTAGACATCCACCGGAACACTCTTTCCCTTTCCATACTCTCCCGGCCATCCTCCACTTTCTAGGTAATCTCCTCCGTGGCATCGGATAACCTCCGCACCATCCAGCATGCTACTGCTCCTTACATGATCATTTGTCAGAGCCCACCGTATCCTAATGGAGTATAACTACTCGCCCGTGTGCTATTAGTACTACCGATGCGATCGCCGGCGTTCAGTACTTTATCTTTATTCCGACCTACCAAGTATCCTCACAGAGAACAAAGTACAAAGTACAGACAGACTACGGAGTACTTTCATACTTCCAGCATCCGGAGCATACGGAGTACTTTCATACTTCCAGCATCCGGAGCATACGGAGTATAAGTCAATCAAGTGACAACTCCAACTAACCCAAGAGAGACCATTCCACCCGCCAAGAACTTAAACAAAGAACTCAAACTGCCTGCGACGGCGCCTACACCCGGACTCCTGGACTCCTAGT